CATTTGAGTCCTTATCTTGGGGTTCATTTCGCCTAACATCAACTTATCTGACCGTTTCTGCTTGTCTCAGACATATACTAGTTATTGCAAATAAGGGAAACCATGGAACCTATGTTTAAGAGGTCCTATTCCTTTTAAATTCTACAACTTACAATCGTTTCAAAATTGATTCAATCCCAATATATATTTTTTTTGGGGGGGTAAATAATGACTATCATGAGACTTGAATCTGTTACTCTATGTAATCTTGAGCAAATGAACTTAGACTCATTAAGAACAGCTTACCTTCCTTTGTCTAAGAGTCTGATGTTAATGCTTTAAAACTTTAATGTTATCCCATTGCCAGCGGCTCACCCTTGTAATCCTGGCTACTCTCAGGAGACTGAAATCTGAAGGATAGTGACTGGATGTCAGCCCAGGGAAGAAAAGTCTGTGAGACTCCATCTCTCAACAATAAGCAGGGCTGGAGGTACAGTTCAAGTGGTAGTGTGCCAATCAGGCACACAAAAATTTCAATTTAACTTTTGTAGTAATTGAGCTTGCTCAGCTCAATTGCTTGACAGAGCTCTACTATTTGAAATGTACTTCCAGCCCAGAACTTGAGATGTTTGTGTCCAATCAATAAATATTTCTTGGAAACCTATACTATGCCATATGATTTTTTAAAAACAAAACTGAATAATATGAAAGCCATAAAAATGTTTCTGATTTATCTTAAAATTGAAGGTAACAAAGTACTTAGAAATAACAAAAAAAACCAAAGCAATTTATTTTCTCTAGGTCATGCAGCCAAGTACAATGGCACTACAGGAGCCAAGGCTAAAAATACCTTACCACTATTCAATTACCCTTTTCAACAGTTTTAAGTTCTGATTGGTTAAGAACTTTTCCCTGGGACAATGAAAGAATCTTTAAATTCTGAGAATCTGTATGTACATTTGGGAAGCTGTACTGGACAAGTAACAGACTTCAACAAGTCAAGTGATTCTGATAGCTGCTATTTTGTTTATACCTTAATTTTCTTTTCATTGGCAGGAGATAAACAAATAACTGTCCTAGGACAGTATTGTTAGATGCTAACAATATTAGTTAGCATCTAATTATATATGTAGCAATCATACTTCTTTTGTCTATTTTTAATTAATGTTAGGGCAGCTTTCTTACAAACTATAATGCTTACAAAAGGATTAATAAGGATCTCTATGAACATCACTGGGAAATTTAATATGGTTAAAATTTTCCCATTTAAGACTTAACTATGGAGCAAAGGGGTGACATTGTCCAGAAAGGAATGTACTCATTACCTGACTTATCAAACTGTAACCCTCTGTGTATCATCTTTATAATAACAATAAAAAATGTCAAAAAATAGATACATACATACATACACACATACATACACACATACATAGATAGATACACAGATACACAGATACATAGACAGACCTTAAAAGAATAAAACTTTTAGCCAGATAAAGTGGTTCACATTTGTAATCCCAGATATTTAGGGGACAGGATCAGGAAGAGCATGGCTCAAGGCCAGCTATAACAAAAATTTAGCTATCTCAGTGTAAAAGTTGGACATGATAGTACACCTGCCATCCCAGGTACATGGAAAGCTAAAACAGAAAGACCAGTAGGGCAAAAAAAGCTCAATACCAACCTGAAAAATAGTTAAAGCAAAAAAGGTTGAATATGTGGTTCAAGTGATAAGAACTCCTGCCTAGCAAGTGTGAAACCCCCGAGTTCAAACCCCAGCACCAAGGGGGAGCAGGGGAGGAGAAGGAATCATACTTTTAAGATCAACAACATTAAGGAAGGCTATAGCTAGGTGTCATATAGTAATAAATGCACTTAAAATGTTTATTATCATTTTTTGGAGGAGAAACAAGCTTTCAAAAACTTCTGTTAGGGGGTTATTTTTTGTTAGTCATTGGGCTTGAACTCAGGGCCTGTGTGCTGACCCTGAGTTTTAAGCTCAAGGCTAGCACTCTACCATTCTAAGCCACAGCTCAAATTATGGATTTTTGGTGGTTAATTGGAGATAAGAGTCTCATAGACTTTCCTGCCTGAGCTGGTTCAAACCATAATCCTCAGATCTCAGCCTCCTGAGTAGCTAGAATTACAATCATGAGCCATGAACACCTAGAAACTTCTATTTTAAACTGGAAGATCAGCATTTTATGTGTGTACATATTAAAATATCACACTGAGCCCATTAATCCATGCAATTAACACATGCCAAGTAAAAAATAAAAGAAGAATAAGTCAGATATCAGTGGCTCACATCTATAATCCTGGGGGACTAAGATCTGAGGACTGCAGTTTGAAGCCAGCTCAAGCAGGAAAAGTCCATAAGAGTCTCCTCTCCAAATAACCATTAAAAAGTCAGAATGGAGCTGTAGCTCAAGTACAAGAGCGCTAGAGCCTTGAGGACAAAGGCTCATGGACAGCACCTAGGCCCTGAGTACAAGGCCCAGGACCAGCACACAAAACAAAACAAAAACAAACAAAAAAACCTGGAAGAAAAAAGAGTTTCAACTTTTTGTAATTTACAATAAGACATACAATAAAATTAATTCAGTTTGTTAAAAAAAAAAACACCTCTGGCATTCATCATTCTGATGATGTTCAGGCACAGTACATAGTAATTCATGAATCTGAGCTGCAATCCCAGAAGGAATTAAAAGAAATGTATATAAATATTTGGCCATCAACAAATGGTAGCTTGCCTGGTGCTAGTGGCTCCTGACAGTATTCCTAGCTACTCAGGAGGCTAAGATCTGGGGATGGTGGTTTGAAGCCTGTAGGGGCAGGCAAGTAAATGAGACTTTTTTTTTTTTGGTCAGTTGTGGGGCTTTAACTCTGAGCCTGGGTGCTATCCCTCAGCTCTTCAGTTCAAGGTGACCGTTCTACCACTTGAGCCACAGTGCCACTTCTGGTTTTCTGAGTAGTTTATTGGAGATAAGAGTCTCAGGGAGTTTCCTGCCTGGGCTGGCTTTGAATGGTGATCCTCAGATCTCAGCCTCCTGAGTAGCTAGGATTGTAGGCATCTCAGCCTTCTCACATTTATACATTCATAACACACATAAGGCAGAAGAGGACTACTGATACTATCTTAAGACTCTATTAAATAGTAAAAATCATGTGCCTTAAACTTAAGAAAAGTCCATTAAATCCACTAAAACTGAAACCACAAGATGGAATCTTACCAGCTTTGTACCAATTGAACGGATGGGGTTCTGAGAAGATTATCTGGAAGAAGACTTATTTCTTTCATTATATTTGCCAATCGAACAGGTAACTCTTGCCGCAGAAACATAAATGAGGTCTTTTCACACGCATTTACTGATCCTGAAACCAAACACAATGGGAAAAACAGTAAGTGTCCATAAGGCATCAGAAGCCAGAGAGCAAGGTGACAACCCAGAGGGAGTCAGTCACCCGGCAGGCCAGAGGAGTCGAGAACCACCATAATGACCAGCTTCACTTAAAGTTACACTAAAATAGTCCTATTATTTCAGCAATGCATTCTACACTAATTCCAATCTTGCTGCTTTAGCAGTCAACCATAGTTAAAAAAAAAAAAAACACAGTCAGCAGCTGGAATTACTATATCAAAGGAAAACATCTTGTGAACCAGGTCAAATCCATCCCTTTGCCACACTCTATAGTCATTTGAATGGAAAGCACAAACAAAACCTGTGGGCTCTGAGCCATAAAAGGGGGGTTGGGGGGGCTGACACTGTAAAGTAGTTGTAAGATAAAGAGACTACTGGTTATCTTTCAAGCTAAGGATGGTGGTCACCTGATAGCACTCACCAAAGCAAACTAAAATTCTACTTAAACTTGAAGACTCTGAAGTGTATATTCAGTTTTCTCCTTTCCTTTCATTGCTCGGATGAGAAAGTTCAGTCTCTCCCCTGCAATCTGCCACACACCCTCCAGGGGAAAGCAGGGTGAAAAGCCGTCCGCTGGACCACCCCTTCGGCTCGTGCACTTCGCACGTGTACACGACCTCTTGGCCGCTGAGGAACGAACGTGCTCGTCGGTGGGAAACCTCGAGCCACGAGTCAGGAAAACATTCCAGGAAAATGTGGGGCCCGTTGGAACTTGTTTCGCGGCAGTCATCGTACGATTGCACGGATCGTCACTCTGCAGAACCCCAGCTAGACACCTGGAGGGGCGACACCTGGAGGGGCACCTCGCCCCGCGGGGCCCGGAGAGGCGGGGCCGCGCTCGGGTTGGTTTTCGACCCCGCAGCGCCAGGCACCCCACGCGTCTCCAGTTGTTTACGCGGCCCGCAGGAGCCCGGACCCTCGGGGAGGAAGGAAGCAGAGGAAGGAGGCTCGGTGGGAAGGGCTGGTGCCCCGCGACCCGCGGGGGCCGGCGCGGCCGCAGCTCCCCCGCACGGCGCGCACGAAGGCCGGAGGCCCGGGCCGCACTCACCGAAGTCTAGGAACTGCTTCATGGAGAGCGGCGACGGCGAGAAGCGCGCGTAGAAGTCCACTTGGCCCGGAACGCCGCGTTCCGACGCCGGCCTGGAGCTCGAGTCCGAGGCAAGGCCGCGGCAGACGCTGGGGCCCAAGGGGCGCCACCCTAAGCCGGGGGCCCCCGAAGCGGCTCCGAGCAGCAGCCGCGCCAGCTTCATGCCGAGCGCCGCCCGAGGAGCCCGTGTCCCGGACACCAGCTCCCTTCTCCCCGCCGCGGCCAGGCGCTACGTGCGGGACGTGGCGGGCCGCGGCTGTCACCGCCGAGGAGCCCGTCCCCCCGCCCCCCCCCGCCGGAGCCCCGCCCCTGGGGAAACCACACCCTTGTGTGGGCGGGGTCTCTGTGGATGGGGGCGGAGCGACGCGGGGAAGGCGTGCGCGGGCGGCCGCGGGATAGGAGCAGACCTTCGGCCGGGACCCCCTCCAGGGTCGCCCTGTGTGGCCCGCCCCTTCCCAAGCCCTTTAGAGCAAATGCCACCTTCCTGCTTCCTCCTCTCTCAGTGTCTCAGTCCAAAGGCTCCAGGTAGGCTGCGATCTGCTAGTTCCAGACTCCTCCTCCCCCTCTCCCTCCCGGCTTTAGGAATGGAGCCCCGTATTTTTCAAGTGAGCAGGAAGAATCGGGGAACTTCCGAGAGCTCACCCTTGCCAGACAGCCGCACCGAAGCCGGAGTGTGGGGCGCTCCCCCTTGCAGGACCAAGTGGGAGAGTGCCCTCTCCCGCTGGGCAGCCCAGCTCGCGGGGCGCTCCGCAGGCTGCGGGGCGCGCGGGCCGGCCGCGTGCCTGCTCCACCTCGCCAGGCTTCTAAATGGTGAACCTAGGACCGGACGGTTTGCAGTGTTAGTTTAAGACAGTCACTTTCCCAGTGTCTGGCAGCCTGTTATCCTAGCTATTCAGGAGGCTAAGCCCTGGAGGATTGCAGTTGGAAGTCAGCCATAGCAGAAAAGTCCCCAAACTCCATCTCCAATTAACCAGCAAAATGCTAGGCTGGAGGCATGACCAGCCATGAGCAAGAAAGCTGAGAGTGCAAGATTCCCAGTACAAGATCTGACTCAAACACACACAACATCATCATCATCATCATGGTCCATTCTTGAATTGTGTAAAAAAATATATTTATATGAGCTGAGATTCACTTTGGGGGCTGTATTAGTGTTTAGCAAAAAGAGAAACATTTACTACCTAGTGTTAGCCTTCCATCCTCCATCTTAGCCAGTCTGCCACCTTAGACCTTCGACAAAAACAAAACTGCCTTTCCCTGAAATCAGGTGATGCAGGCCTTTCCCTGAAAACAGATGGCACAGGCTTTTACCTGAAAACAGGTGAGGTAGGTGGCTGCAATCTCAAGTGGCAGCCCCTCCCCAAAATACAATTTCCCTCTCCCTTGTTTGTGCAGCTACAACTGTAAATGTTAACCCCTTGCACAAAGCAGTTTTCCACTTTCACGTTCTACATGAACCCAGCCCTATAAAATTGTGCTTTATAGCCCTACCGTAGCCTGTCAGGTTTCTGACATTGAAACACCTCTTCCTTTGTAACCAACTGTCCGAGTGATTTTCTTGGGCAAGCCTTTTACCTAAAAATATGTTGGTAGTTAGGGATTAGAAAAGGAAAAATAATTGCCTCCAGCATAGTGTTTTATTAGAATAGATGGCTGTAAGGAAAGTGATAAACAAGAAAAAGATTAATTAACATGTATATTGCATGTATTCATGAGAAATTCTCAGAGCTAAGTAATTCTCAAGTGACCTTAGCAAGTGCCAGCAAACCACACCTGTAAATCCTAGCTATTCAGAAAGATCCAGAGGATGAAAGTTTGAAGATAGCTGGGCAGAAAATTCTGCCACACTCTGTTTCCAAAATAATGAGCAAAATAACAGGCTGGAGGTGTGAATCAACTGAAGAGTGCCAAGCAAGCTCAAACCCAATAATCACCAAAACAAAGCAAAAATAATGGCCTTGAATTCCAATTTATATAGTCTGCAACAAAGAATAGTAGATGTTTAGACATGAAATTTAGAAGATAAAGCACTTTAAGTCTTTAAAAAAATATTTCCATATCTTCAGTTATAAAAGGGGTTTCATTACTACATTTCCACACATGACTACAGTGTACCCCCATCAACTCCCTATTCTTCTTTATTTTCCTGCCTCTTTCTTAAAATAATCTTAACAGGTTTCTTTTGGGGGAGGGGAGGAGGGGCAAGGAGGAAGTTGTAGCACTTGAACTCAGGGCCTAGGGGCTGTCTCTGAGCTCTTTTAATCGAGGCCAGCACTCTACCACTTTGTGCCACAGCTCCATTTCTGATTTTTTTGAGTGGTTAATCAGAGAAAAAAGTCTCATAGGGACTTTTCTGCCTAGGCTGGCTTTGAACCATGATCCTCAGACCTCAGCTTCCTGGGTAGCTAGGGTTACAGATATGAGCCACAAGTACGTGACTTGGGCCTGGTTTTTGTCTTCCCTTTTCTTTTTTTTTAAATTTGTATTTATTTATTTTTTGGTACTGGTCCTGGGGCTGAAACCCAAGGGGCCTGGGTGCTGTTTTTTTTAGCTTTGTTGCTTGAGGCTAGCACCCTACCACTTGAGCCAGAGCTCTACTTCTGGCTTTTTTTGTGTGATTATTTGGAGATAAGAGTTTCAGGTACTTTCCTGACAGGACTAAAACCGTAAGTAGTTGTGGGTTCCCAAGTTCATGTCCAGAATGTTAATGACATAGAAGCAAACAGGTCAAGTTTATTAAGAGGATATAATAAAGCTCCTGCACAGGAAGAGTAAGAGGGAAACTGAAGCAGGCTCAGAGTCCAGGGGGTTTATATTTTGTGCTGGGTATGTGGATTTATTTTTCAATGGTAAGGATTGTTGGCATAGATGGATTGCCCAGTTTTTCTGTAACTAGGGTGAATTAGAGGTCAGATTGCTTCATCTAGCAATGACTTTTAACTGACTATTAAAAGTTGAGAGTTCTCTGTGTTTTTGTATAAAAAGCATTTAAAATTTAACTGTCTGCCAAACAGGACAAGAGGAAGGGCAACCTTGCAAAACTTAGCCTCCCAGGTCTGTAAAACAGAGTCCTGTTTTTCTTAGGAGGGAGCTAGTATCTTAACACCCATTATGGCACGGGTAGTCAACTACTCACTTGTGTGTTTTCCTGGCTGGCGTTTTGATACCAAAGACAGAGATCTTGTGGCCTTATTGTTATTACTATTATTTTTAACTAGGGCCTTCCCTTCCTTTCCACATCTTCAAATATTCAAATACAGTCCCTCTGTGAAAGAAGAGCAACATTTGTTCCATATGGCCCACAGAGCAGACGGAAGGGCTTGAGGGTGGAAACCCTGGATGGAGGTAGATCTGACTCAACATGGCTAAACTTAATGTGTGTGGGCAAAAATTCTCTGTGAGATGGACTCTTGTCAATGACCTTTAGTCAATAGCCTGGATACCAGCTTGGTAAGGAGGATGCAGGGAGGATTATGAAAAGAGACTAGGTTTTGAATCCTGGTTTTGCAATCTGCTGGCTATGGGTCCTTCTGTGGCTTAACTTCTCTGAACCTCAATCTACTCAGTGAAAAAAGAAGCATAATATCTGTGTCAGCACAGGACCAGCTCAGGACTTACCAAACACCCAACAATCTTTAAAAAACAAAAAACTTTATCACTTTTTTTTTGGGGGGGGGGTCTGGTCGTGGGGCCTGAACTCTGGGCCTGGGCGCCGTCCCTCGGCCCTTCAGCTCAAGGCTAGTACTCTACCACTTGAGCCACAGCACCACTTCCGGCTTTTTTCTTTTTGCTTATGTGGTACTGAGGAATCGAACCCAGGTCCTCATGCATGCAAGGCAAGCGCTCTACCACTGAGCCATCTTCCCAGCTCCTCTTTATCACTTTTTAGTTGTTGTTGGTGGTGGTGGTTGTGGGGCTTGAACTCTAGGCCTGGGCACTGTTTCTGAGCTCTTCAGTTCAAAGCAAGAGCTCTAGCACTTGAGCCACAGTGCCACTTCTGGTTTTCTGGTGGTTAATTGCAGATAAGAGTCTCACAGACTTTCCTGCCCAGGCTAGCTTTGAACCTTAATCCTCAGATCTCAGCCTCCACTCTTTTTATCTTATCAAGATTTTGTAAGAGCTACTTATATAAGTCCTTGAAACAGACTTTATCCAAAGTTTAGAAGAAAACAAAGTTCAGTACTAAGATTTTGTGTGTGTGTGTGTGTGTGTGTGTGTGTGTGTGTGTGTGACAGATCTGGAGCTTGAACTCAGGGCCTGAGCACTGCCCTTTTGCTTTTTTTACCTAAGACTAACATTATATCACTTGGGCACAACTCCATTTCTAGCTTTATTGGTGCTTGATTGGAGATGAGTCTCAAAGTCTTTGTTGCCTGGGCCAGCTTTGAACCTTGATCCTCAGTCTCCTGAGTCACTAGGATTATAAGTATGAGCTGCTAAAGCCTATCCAACTACCCTGAAATATTCTTAAAATAGGTCTTAACCATGCTAGTTACTTCAGCCTCTCAAGTTATCTTCTGCCTTCCTGCCTTCCTTCTGGACGCCAGTCTCCTCAGTTTATCAGGCACAGTATTCAGCCCTCAACCCCTATTTACATCTTTGATACTATACAAAATGTCCAGCTGAAAATTAATTTGTGTGATACACAGAGTACATGATATACAAAGAATGAGGAAATAGGAAAAAAAATGGTGTGGCAAGTTCAGTGGAGAGGTCAAAAAACAAGAATACAGACAGGGATTTGCAAAGGTTGCAAATCTAGCTTTTTACTGGGGACCCCAGGAGCATGGTCCCTATTCTTGACAGATTTATGTCCCTTGTTATCAGTTAGCAGCAATTTACAGAGTTGTTAAATAGTTCAATGACAAATCCCTTGGGAAGGAAGTTTTACTTTAAACAAAGTCTGGCATTCCACTGAAGCACAATGTTGCCCTACATACATTTGCCTTTTTGAATAAGTAGCATCAGTTCTAGTTACTACTTGGGCAAAGACAGTGGAGGCATCTATTCACTAGGATGTTTTTAGAGGAAACAGCTTTGTGTTTGGAACCGGTACTTTGATGCGCTGCTAGAGCAGAGATTCCCCTGGGCAGACTCACCAACAGCACTGCAGGAAGCCTGGAGAGGAATTCATTTTGTAAGGAAAGGGAAAGGGGAGGAGGCGGAAGAATGCTAAGGCTGGTTCACAACCTGAGCAAGTGCTCCTAACACAGACATTTAATAGGTTACAACAACAGCAAAGAATGTGACCAGATCTTTTGTATTTTTGGGTAAACTGGGGGGCTTGGGATGTGGTGACGGTGGTGAATTTTTCAAGTATTGAAGCCAGTAGGGACAACAATTACACAAGCATTTGAGAGGGGACTGTGAGGTTGGGTGGGGGATGCGGGGGGAGGGAGGACCAGGAAGGTTCTGAAGAAGCACAACCCTGAATATTTATGAGCATGGACAGGGAGAAATTTTACACTTGGAAAAATTGGAATTGGCAATGTTAAAAAAGTTTAAGCACACTAAAAATTTAAAGGCTTTATTTGAGCAGACTGTAACTTGTGAATTGGTGACTCCAATCTCAAACAAGCTAAGAGACAGTGCCAAGCCCTGAGTTCAAACCCTAGGACAAAGGGACTCGTGCGTGCATGCACATGCGTATGCTCTCTCTCTCTCTCTCTCTCTCTCACACACACACACATCTTATTTGTATGTGTATCCATAGCCTAATTCAACATGTCTAGATATTTTTACTCCAAATGGAAAATGATTGAAACCACAACAGAACCTTAGATGCACATTGACTAAATATTCCGCTGGTTATTGGTGAATTGAATATTTGCCTGCAAGGATGAGGTAAAAGCAGCACTAGATTTTTCACAGATGTTCTAGAAGGATGAATAGGGAAAATTTTTGTATGACCTTGAAGTAGGGAGACTAGTGAAGTGGGCCCTGAGAGGAGACCCAAGTTGATACAACTCCCTTCTAGACTTTGCCTTTGTTTCAGGGATTTTAGACTCCATTTTTGACTGACCTTTAAGGGTGGTGACTAAAAACTTTCAAATGATGTTCAAACTAGAAAAACAACTTTAATCACAGGGCCACATCTTGGCTCTAAGGAGTCCAGTTCCTGGAATGAAAAAAAATGTATCTGGTCCTCCCCTCCCCTTAACCTAACCCACCCTTGATTGCTCAGTTACAGACTGACCAATAAAGCAGATGGGTTGTAATCTTGCTCTACTGGCAACATCACATGCTTAAACTCTGCTTTTGCCCTCCCCCCCCCCACCCCTTCTCCTCCCTCCCCCCCCCCGGCTAAATTTGCTCACCATTTTAAAACAAAGTGGTTTAAACAGCCATTGAGACAAACTGTCACCTCACTGGCCACCTGCGTGTGGTCTAGCATGACTGTACAATCCTTTGTGTGTGTTACAATTGCATTGGTCACCTGCGAGTGACTGGGCTCGACCTCACGAATTTTGCCTTTAAAAACCAAAGCATGTGGGCGGCTTGGGGGTCACAATATCAGCTCCCAAGCCTGTGCTGCGGCCCTGACTGTTCAGTGTAGAAACCTTCTTAGTAAAGTTGCTTCTTTGTTAACAACTTTGTTGTGGTGGGCTCTGTCACTCCTAATGACTAGGTGGTCTTGCCTGCCTGAGTAGGGGGTCTTCCTACTATACTAGGTCTAGATGATGCCATCTTGTCTCACAGATACCCTGGCACCTAGCTGGGTGATGGGGGCTTTCCACCCAGCTCCAAAGGCCTAGAAATGAGACAACCATCCTTTAAATTGTAGACACCTAGCTCAGCAAGAAAAGGCTCTTTTGTAGAAGACATGCGCCACAGAGAGGAAGCCCTGCTCCTCGTGCCTATCTATGTTGGGGCTTCACCACTCCCCAAACATGTGTTTTTTCTTTTTAAAAGTGTGGTGCAGGTTGTGTGTAGGGCTGCAGATCATTGTGAGAAGAGTCCTCCTGCAGATGCTGGCTAATAAAGACCCTCAATCTGACCTCTCAAAATGTGGCTTCTGTTTTTTCAGGACTGAGATTTACCTTACAAAAACCTCTTAGAGTGGGTCTGAATCTATACACTGACACAGGCAGTATGACTAAAATAGATTCTGGCAGAAGACTGAGGCACTTAAACTTTGCTAACTGCTACAAAAATTGCCCAGCATCACCCAATACCTGACTAGTTTTGTCTAACCTATCACTGGGCTAGCCAAGCTTTCTTACTCTGGTTTGTGTATATTATTTTATGTATCTTTAGAGGACTTGGCCATGAGTCTTTTTTTTCTTGTCTATTCTAGGGGCTTGAAGTCAGCCTGGGTGCTGTCCCTAGCTCTTTTTGCTCAAGGATAGTGTACAACCACTTGAGTCAGAGTATGACTTCCAGTTTTCTGGTGGTTAATTGAAGGAAAAGAGTCTCAGCACAGGTTGGCTTTGAACCACGATCCTCAGATCTCAGCCTCCTGAGTAGCAAGGATAGCAGGCATGAGCCACCAGTGTCCAGTTGCCTGAGTCCTTTTATAAATTCCTCTTTATGAACACCAATGCTGAGGTGGCCTAGGCACTCACATATCTTAACCGCTGGATGGGACACATTCCTAGACTGACAATGTTCGTGGGTGTGAAGTAGTTCTGTGAGGGCCAACATTCCAGTGGCCAAGGTTCTGCTGGCTGGCTGTCTGCATCTCAAGGTCGTCCTGGCCCAGTCTGGCCACCTATACTAACCCTGCCTCCAGCCTCCCATTCACAAGGCCATCTCCCATCATCTTGCAGGCTCCCTCCCTATAAATACCTCTTCCTAGCTTAATAGCAGCTTCTGCTCTCTGTCCTGATGGAGACAGCCTGTCAGTATTTCTAGCATTAAACTTTTCCTCAGTGTGTGGTGTGTTTATCTGAGACATCCAACAATGGTGTTGTGCCCCAGATCCTGGGTTCCCCAGGTAACTTTGCGCTTTCCCTCTTGGGGAATCTGTTAGTAGGGTAGCTATATGCAGGAAATATATAAATGCTTTATTTTCTTCTGTTGAGTTGTAATAACTAGTTAGAGAGCTTCATAGGTCTGCTTAAATCTAAATAAAATGTTTTGAATAATATCTCTATATCTCTATCTATCTATCTATCTATCTATCTATCTATCTATCTATCTATCTATCTATCTGTCAGTCGTGGGGCCTGGGTACTATTCCTCAGCTCTTCAGCTCAAGGCTAGCCCTCTACCATTTGAGCCACAGCACCACTTTGGCTTTTTCTGCTTATGTGGTGCTGAGGAATTGAACCTAGGGCCTCATACATGCAAGGCAAGCACTCTACCACTGAGCCACCTTCCCAGCCCCTAAAGAAAATATTTCTAACTGGTGTAAAACCAGCCCCAGTGATACACACAGGACACATACATGTTCCAGTTGGACTGCTCTCATATCAGAATGTACTTAGAAGGAAGCAACTAAATCGTAAGAAATTGTTTTTTTATGTCATTACAAAATTCCTAATCACTTTACAGACACAAACCTTTGAATCAAGGAGAATCAATACAAACAGACAGCTCCCAACTTATAAGCATCTTGACTAAACCATGTAGACATTCCTTTTCTGTGTTATAGAAAAAAGAAACTCTAAAGATTTAAGCATCCACTGCACAGCAGATTTAAATGACTTAAAAAAATCCAATCACATTTACATTACATTCCCTTGGATACCAGTATCTTTGGATGATCTGACATGATATGGGAGTCTTCAGAATAAAAATATTGAAAACTTCAGTTTCGCTTGATGAAATAAAAAAGAAAGGCAATTTAGGTTGTCATTTATAATTTTAGAGTTTAACATATATATATAATGCTGTGTTACTAACCAATAAACACTTTCATAAAAAATTTATTTCACACTTTTATACAAAAATCCACAGGTATTTTCTAATCATGAAATAATTTTACAATGCTAGTTAGTATAAAAATGTATCAAATTTAAACAGACCAGTGACTTGACTTGAGATGACATTTTTAACAACTATTAATTTAAACACCATAACATTCTTGTTTCTTCCTGCTTAACTAAGCCCCTTCCCCCTAATTCAGGACATTCATTTTTATGACAAAGGTCTACACACGTCAGGAAAACAGCTTCTTGGTATTTTATCAAGCCATTGTGTTAGGCTCCAAGTTCCTCCAGCAAGAAAGTGCAACTTTATTATGACCTGTTTTAGAGAATTCTTGTAAACAAAGTATCATTTGTAAAATTATTTTTATAAATGGAAATACCAAACTATACCCAGAATAAAATCTTTAGCATTTTAAGAGTAGATTTGTGAAAAGGGGGACAAAGATGAAAACTCCAAAGCAAAAATGGCACATATAACTCTATTTTGTTCTTTTAAAAGATCTGAGACACTGCTTATACTATATTCAAGCAAATTAGCACCTGTTTGCTATTGCTCCCCATATAACAGTTCAAAGCACATTAAAAAAAAGTCTTTCATTTCTATGAAACCTCTATTGAATGTATGGAATAAGTCTTATTGGACATCAGTCACTCACATCTGTATTCTTGGCTACTCAGGAGGCTGAGATCTAAGGATCATTGTTCATAGCCAGCTTGAGCAAGAAAGTCTGTTAGACTCTTACTTCCAATTAATCAGCAAAAAGCTGAAGTGGAGCTGTGGCTTAAGTGGCAGAGTGCCAGCCTTGAGTTCAATCCCCAGTACTGGCACCAAAAAAAATCTCTCTCCACCCACTTCCACCATTACAATATTTTTCAAAAAATGAAAGCTTGAGCTTTTTTTTGTTTGTTTTTTTGTTTGTTGTTGTTTTTGGCCAGTGCTTGAGATCAAATCCAGGGTGTTGTGCACACTAGCCACTCTACTATTGAGTCCTAAAAATCTTGTTAATGTAGTGGCAAGGACATTTGGGAAATTTAGACAGGGGAGAAAGCACAATTAAAGAAAAATGGAACACTGATTCACTGATTAAATAGTTTTAATGACACTTCAAAAGGTAAGAGCCATGATGTTTCTTCCATCTAACTAGAATTGCCATTTTAGTAGCAAATACTCATTCAGTAGTATCACACTGGGTCCATTTGGATCCACTCACTGATTCTTTCAAGTTCTGAATATACAGTATTTGCAGCAGTGAGTAAACATGCCCCAAAGTTCAATGGACATTTTCTCCAGGAGTTCCTGAAAACTTAGCACGGAGTTCAGAAATATCACAGAGGGCTCTAACTACTAAATACCAGGTGTTGGATGAGAATGAAAAGGTTAACCCTTGTTTAGGGAAGGGGTTGCCATAAGAAAATGTTATCATTTACAGATAAGTTTGTTTCTATCATTAAAGCAACTCTGGTACATTTATAAAGAGCTATTATTTTCTTTTCACAGGAAGTAATTTAGGTTAAACCAATGACCTCCTGTTGGGTTTTTTTTTTTTTTGGTTGTTTTTCTTTCTGTCTTTTTTTTTTTTTAATTTCTGATTGTTTAAAACTACCTGAAGGATCTTTGGCCGTTTAGTCAATAACAAGATGGTTTGAAGAAAAAATAAATATCATATACAAATAAGTATAACTAGCATTCAAGTCTGTTGCACCTGTGTGTTGTAGTGAAGCCTGTATGCATTTGGTGTGTGCAAGAATTCACACTTGTAGGAAACAGAGAGAGGGCAGGATGGCATCATCACCTTCTATTGCACATTTAACATAAGACAGCACTTTCAACTGAGTCTTGGACCCCTGGGGGACAGCGAACTCACAGCTTCTCCCCTGCACGAAGCATGCTGGCGGTGCAGGCTAGAACAGTCACTCTGTTGGTGTGGGTGATCCTAGATGTCCTCCTCCAGCTCCCTATCAGGAGATACTATGGGAGTGCAAGTGGGCAGGCCTTTGCCCAGCATAGGTTAAGTCAGCCACACCAAAAGCAAAGGCAACCTGGAAAGTTCAATTAAGGCAGTTAAAAAAAAAAATCCATTCCAATGGTCTTAATTTGGCTGTGCAAAACAGGATGCCTTAGTTTGCGTAACAATATCCACAGTTAAAACTGTAGGTTCGTACTGCGGGGAGTCAGTCTGAAATCAAACTTCCAGGTATTGAACAGGCTTATTAAATCCATTTGAATTGCTGAGTTGGAAAGAAAAAGGCATTTTGGGTATGGTGATGCTTTTTTTTTCTGAACACCCCTTCTCCCACCTAGGAGTAACTTTCATTTTCATTCCACTTTGTAATCCACTGTTTTTTTTCAAGGTTATCATTGTATTTCTCATCTTTGATCTCTCGCTCTTCTTTCCGGATCCTTACAGCATGGTATCGGGGGACACTATCATCGTACCTAGAGCGTTTAAAGAATCCGCACTGGAGGAGAGAGAAACAGACACCAATTAATTCATCTGGGGGGGGGGGAAGCTCTACATTAGGAAGTGCTCTAAATATGGACTGTTTAAGTATTCTGTTTGGCTAGAGTACCTTTGGACTAAAGGGGAAAACTAATTGGTTAAAAAGACCTAACAGCAGGGGGAATAAACAAAAGAGGAGAAAAGCTGTAAAAGTGGAAGGAAGGGAAGTCCAATTTCACGCTTTTTCACATTTTATAACAATGTTAGCTACCAACTTTTAACTAACAATTTAAGAATTTGTCAAACAATGCTTCCATTAAGAAAAAAGTCCCTACATTAGAGATAAAATTTTCAGATCATTCTATGAACAACAACAAAATCTTTTTAGACATAGGATTTCACTATGCAACCCAGGCTGGCCAGGAACTCACAATCCTCCTGTTAGATCTTCCCAATGCTAGGATTATAGGTGTATATTGCTAGTCTTATTCAGTTTAAGAAAAAAAGCACAAATAAAAAATGGCTTTATGGGGGCTGGGAAGGTGGCTCAGTGGTAGAGCTCTTGCCTTGCATGCCTGAGGCCCTGGGTTTGATTCCTCAGCACCACATAAGCAAAAAGAAAAAAGCCGGAAGTGGTGCTGTGGTTCAAGTGGTAGTGCTAGCCTTGAGCTGAAGAGCTGAGGGACAGCGCCCAGGCCCAGAGTTCAGGCCCCACGACCGGACCCAAAAAAAAAATTTAAAAAAATGGCTTTATGCCCCTTAGGTACACATTATCATGTCATTAGCTAGAAGGTCCTTCCTTAGCATTGTCTAGATTGCACTTAAGTTAGACTGTTTCATTAAGAAACCACAAAGTAATTGTGTCCGGAAATGAAAATTGAGGACTCAAGGAAGGTATTGCTATACTGAATTTTGGAATAGTTTCTGATTTCTCTCCTTTTGCAAAAAGGAAAAAGACAATATTTACATTCAAATTACAAATGAATCTGTACCTTATCCACTGTTTTAAAAATGCAATCTGATCCAAAGTTTAATTTGAAAATATGCCTGAAAATTTTTATCAGGTTGAATTTTTTTCATGAATAAGGAATTTTTAAAGGAGTTTTCATGTTAAAAATGCAACTTGAAATAAAAGGAAGATTCTTAGAATGGATGGTTAATGTGTTATGTGACAACAGGAACAGAACATTTATGGTGAAAATGTTATGATACAAAAATATCATGGCTGGGCGCCAGTGGCTCACGCCTATAATCCTAGCTACTCAGGAGGCTGAGATCTGAGGATCAGATTCTAAGCCAGCTGGCGCAGGAAAGTCCATGAGACTCTTATCTCCAATAAACCACTCAGAAAACTGGAAATGGTACTGTGGCTCAAGTGGTAGAGCGCTCGCCTTGAGCTGAATAAACTGAGGGGCAGCACCCAGGCCCAGAGTTCAAGACCCACGACTGACAAAAAAGAATTAATAAATAACATAAAAAGAAATAAAAGTATCATGAAGTCAGGCAAAAATAATGTTTCTAGTTATTACTAAATTAATAGGCTAAATGAACTAAGATGTTTTGTGCTAAGCTATTTCTATGTACATTCATTTGTTATTCTGTGCAATACGCCAGGGTACTTATTACAAAATATGTTGACGGCTGCCTGCCCCATTTTAAAAAAGGAGGAAATAAAGGGTGGACCCTAAAGCCAAAATTGCATATTGAGGTTCATCATGGCCATGCCATGAAAGGGAACTACATGCGCACAAACATGGAAAAAGGAAACACCAACAATTCATGTTTCCAGATTCACAAATCGGAGAAGCAAAACATGAATTCAAAATCAACTGAGACCCAAGGCAGAGAAAAATCTGTGGAATGATGAAAAATGGTCAAACTCCATTACAACATAGTGAAATAAAAACTGTTCATAACAAGTTTTCAAACTAGAATTTTGTAGACTGTAGGTTGCTTTAAAATGCAGACCATGTCCTAGAGTAGGAGATGTTGCATCACACTGATGATCATTCTTTGTTGTAATGGTCTTTGACCTAAAGGAGATATGCAGAGAAAGAACACTGCATGCTAAGCTGGCATAAAACAATTTCAGAGCAACTGTAAAAAAAAAAAAGCATTTGAAGCCTGCCCCACCACTTTTTAAATAGCAAGGAAAACAGAAAAATAAGAAAGCCTCTTCATCAAGAGAAACCCAATGTTTCTAGCATGCAAAAGGTTAATCAGCCAGTCAACACAAGCTTCTATTTCTGGGAAATTCCAAAATGAACAAGAAATCTGGTATGACTTCTCATGCATCTTTGAAATTCCAAGTGGGACGTTCCATCCTGGACTAACAACGAGGCTACTGGAAAGGTCTAAAGCCTCCTTTTGTGTGTACAAATATGGAGAGTTTCTTCACTGATGTGGGTCAACTTAAATAAGAACACATTAACTCACCTGTGTTGATTCTTTTGTGCATTAAAAAAACAAACTTTGTGCTTTCAAGTGAAATAAATAAAATAAACAAATCCAAGCAAGGCAAGCCAGTGTGGACATTTGGAAACATCTGTTAATGGGACACACACAGCAAGCTATTGCTCTTAGAAGTTAGCCACCACAACCATAGCAGGTCCCACAGCTAGCGATTATAAAACATTGATCAATTACCAATTACAGAAGTAGATCAATACTATGCATCAGAAGTAAGCCTCTCTTTATCAGACGGCTGAGCATGGATCTCAGCCTTGTGATATGTGGCATCATAATGATCTTTCTTATTTCTCTTGAAGAAACCACACTACAAAGAAGCAAGGTATTTGGTCAATTTTACAGTTTGGAGGATAAAAGCTAAACAAAAGTACAACTGAGGTTTCAACCTGTTTCCTATTTACAGTTCATTTACAGAAACCATTTTTTTGTGTGTATGTGTGCCAGTATGGAGGCTTGAATTCCGAGCCTTGAGCTCTCACTTGGCTTTTTTCATTTAATGCTGGCACATTTCCACTTGAGTCATGCTTCCAGCGTTTTGCTGGTTAATTGGAGGTAAGGGTCTCACAGACCTTTCTGCCCAGACCGGCTTTGAATCCTGATCCTCAGATCTCAGCCTCCTAAGTAGCTAGGGTAACAGGGGTGAGCTACCAGTGCTAGTGACATAAACCATTTTTGATCAACTGGAAGTGAGCAGCCACAGCACTATGTTACAATGTGTCAGAATTCAGCACCTTCTACCACCACAGTTTTCTAGTAAAGCATTTGTATGGATGCTAGTACCTAGCTTACTGACCTTTCTATTTGTAGTAGAAATTCTCAGTTCTTTCTAAAAGGGAAATGCATGTACATCTAATTGTGGCTTTAGGTGCTTTCATCTTGCATGAGAATAAAGACTTAAAAAAGGCAAAAGAGTGACTTCTGTAGTCTGCTGAGACAAAGGCTAGAAATAAATGAATTCTCTAGAATTTAGCACAAGTGCAAATAAAATACAGATATATTATATTATCCTGCTTTTTAGGGTAAATCACAATACAAATTTGAATATACCATCATGATAGAACCCTATCTTCCTCAGGTTAAGTCACTCTAAATGAGTGTATAAGTCTAATTCTACTTTCTATTATCATTTCCTTCATTCAACAATAAAGGCCTTAAAAAAAAACTTTCATCTAGTTCATAATGCCTTGGTAGTTAGTGTCTTTTAAGATATAACTTGGGTCAAATAAATCTTTTGCTGGGTACCGGTGGCTCATGCCTGTAATCCTAGCTACTCAGGATCTGAGGATCTCAGTTCAAAGCTAGCATGGGCAGGAAAGTCCAGGAGACTCTTTATCTCCAATTAACCACCAGAAAACCAGAAGTGGCGCTGTGGCTCAAGAGGTAGAGTGCTCACTGTGAGCTGAAAAGCTGAGGACAGCACCCAAGCCCAGAGTTCAAGCCCTGCGACTGACCAAAAAATTAAAATAAAATAAATCTCTCCTGGAAAATTCTGCTTCCTACTTTGGTAACTGCTTAGGGTAAAAATCTAGATGCAGATGCACAACATGGTAGCTACTAGCTATACATGGCTATTGAAATTTAGATTACATTGTCATACCTCCACTGCACTAGCAATATTACAAGTGCTCAGTTGCCAGAGGTGACTGTAAGCTACCAATTATACTGGAACATTCTCATCATTACAGGACATATACTGGGCAGCATTGAACCAGACTATCTATCCTGATATTTATTTGTGAGTTTTAAGGTAATACATACTAAACACAATAATAAATGCAAGTATTAGGCAGGAAGAATAATGAACCAGAAACCAAGAGTTCTGATCTTCCTTCTGATTTATAACATTCTTAATATCCCTACACATGAGCATCTTCATGTAAAAAACATTAAAGTGAACAGATCAACCTGGAGGACTTTTCTTTTATCTCCAAAGGAAATCCTAGACAAAAGCCGTGGCAGATTAAAATCAGAACTCTTCTGGTTAAGGAAGAAATCTCTATCTTAGCTTAGTTGTACCAAGGTGCATGTACAAAACTCAATTTAAAGACCACTGAACTAGAATTCTTCTTTCCATCCATTCTTTTTGCCCTAACAATCTTCTCTGACCCTAAACTTCCTAAAAATGATTCAGTTTAAGAAATAATATACAGTAGTTTTAAGGTTTACTTTCATATGAGAATTATCAACATTATCTGATATTTTAGAGTCTCCTTAAAAAGAAGGATAGAGTTTCAAAATACTCAATGAGATCATCTAGTCCAATCTACCATTGAGCAGCTGAGGCAGACCAGAGACCCAAGATTATATTATAGCTTGGGCTTTTTCTTAACTTTCTGTTATATCTCTCTTGAGGCCAGAGACTGACAATAAGATCTGCTCCGGAAAAAAACAAAACAAAACAGTGTCCTTGTAACCTCTTCCAGAGAGTATAAAACCATCCTCAAACGCTAAATCCCTTAATTAACTTTTCTTCAGTAAATAATCTTCAGAGCAACTCCTATAGTGTCCTCCTGTGTTTGGGAGAACATTAAAAAATTATCTCAATCTGACACAAGGAAGTTACTTGGAAGAATAAAGCAAAAACAAACAATGTTCAAAATATGGAAGTAAAAATATCCTTGAAGCCTTGTCTAATATACTCTTAGACCCAAGGAAAGGAAAAGGATGGGTTGATCCTAGGAAACTATTAGTTCAACCCTAACCCTTTTGATCGGATGTGTTTTGGATTCCAGATACTTTGGCATTTTTGGAAGTATTATGCTGTACACATAAGCTACTGTAATTTTTTTTAAAAAAGCTAACATTTCTGCAGTAAAATTGAGTAAAATATGAACTATAAGTCACTTTTCTTTACATCATATTAGATTTTGCTGTCAAAAAGGTCATTGTAAACTTTCAATCTCCAGGGCTATTCTGGAATTACAGATAAGGAACTTCAGATTTCACTTACTTACTGGAAATGTGCAAAACCTTCAAGTTTGTAAACTTTGGCAACAGAAGTGTATAACCATCTCAGATATATTTTTTCATAATGCAAACTGTTTACAGGTGAGAAGCAGGGAAGACATTAAACTATGTTTAGTTAGAAGAATGTTAACAAGGAACATCATATTGAGCCCAGACCTCCCTCATATTTGATATAGGCTATGATGATGCACTTGAGATGGAGTTAATCATTTCATTTCATGCTTTCAATTTCCTAATTTCCTTGCAAGTGTAACAAGCCAATAGTTGCCACAAATATTTCTTCACAGAAAATTAGCAGGAATATAAATTTAGATTAAATCTCATACTCAACAATTTGGCTTAGATCCAAGACTTTGCTCTTAGATGAAGAAAGTACTAAGGCAGTAAAATTTAAATTTGTCATTTGCCAAACATGCCAATTATATTCAAAAGATACTAAAATTTATTCACTTAAGAAATTCTTCTGTAAAATAAAATATATTTAAATACAAATTATTATTGTAAATTTGTCTCAAATTTGCTGTATGTTGAAAAACTTTGCTGTATGTTGGGGAAAAGAAAACAATGAAAAAGAAAAGAAAAACATACTGCCAGGGTTAACACATTTTTAAAGCATGAAATCAAATTCCTATCAAGGAACTCAAAGGTCAGATATAACTCACCTTCCATAGTAAAAATACTAACAAAGCAAGCATCAAAATCCCAGCAAGAATGGACAGCAGGATGATCCACCAAGCTATTCCTGAATACTGAGCTGCAGTCTTTGAGGGAAACACAGTCACACGAACCTAAAGGGCATAGTTAGAAAGGAGATCATCATAAATGGGAATATGAGTTGACACTGAGAATCCACAGTTCTATTTCTGCTTCTGAACATACTCTGGACAAAGCCTATGGATGATGCAACTTTCTCCTGGGGGATCCTTTCTCATAATGAGGTATTCCCTGAAAGTCTTTCCCTATAATGTGGAAAAAGTTGGATTATATTCTGACAAACTTTTTTTTTTTTAGTCGGTTGTGGGGCTTAAACTCTGGGCCTGGGCACTGCCTGAACCCTTCATTCAACTCAAGGTGAGTGCTCTACCACTTGAGCCACAGTGCCACTTCCGGTTTTTGGGTGGATAACTGGAAATGAGTATCACTGACTTTCATGCCCAGGCTGGTTTTGAACTGCAATCCTTGATCTCAGCCTCCTGAGTAGCTAGGATTACAGGCATGAGCCACTGGGCCCAGCTCTGACAAACTAATTTTTGCAGACTTACCTTAAAAAATTTTTTTAACAACTAAGATAGAGAAAAGTAGGTAATGAACTATCAGATAGTCATCATCCTATTTCAACATTTTTTTTTTTTTGGTCAGTCGTGGGGCTTGAACTCTGGGCCTGGGCACTGTCCCTGAGCTCTTCAGCTCAAGGTGAGTGCTCTACCACTTGAGCCACAGCGCCACTTCCGGGTTTTCGAGTGGTCTATTGGAGAGAAGAGTCTCACGGACTTTTCTGCCCGGGCTGGCTTTGAACTGTGATCCTCAGATCCCAGCCTCCTCAGTAGCTAGGATTACAGGTAAGAGCCACCGGCGCCTGGCTACCTATTTCAACAATTATCAATTAACGTTCAATCATGTTTCAACTATATAAATTGGTATTGTTTTACTTTTATTTTTTTCTGCTGCTAACATTGAACCTAGAGCCAGAACCTGCTAGGTGTCTACCACTGAGCTACACACACACACACACACACACACACACACACACACATATACACACACACACACATATATACACACACACACACACATATATATATGTATATCTCCTTTTGAGAAAAAAAATACTTCAGTTTTCAATAACAGAGAGCAAAGAGCCGGTCTATATACAATTAGTTTACATCTCTCAAACTTCAAAGATGTTATTAAAAACATAAAAATAATGATGAAGCTGCATGATGGGTAGATACTATTTTAATCTTTTCTTGGATACTACCCTAACCACCCATACACAATAAAATTAATTGACACGGCTCAGTGTCATGTTCTACAAAATACATATGGACAAACAGACCCTGGATTCATTTGGAGGCCCCAGAGTGGCTTATGGCTCAGTACTCCCTGCCTCCCCATCTCTAGACATAAGCCAGATTAAAACTAAAACTCCCTTTCCTTGAGATTATTTGGTCCAGCATAAGAGTATCCATAACACAAGGAGGAAAGAAGAGATAAATCATGAGACAAATGAAGAAGCAACCTAGTTATATGGCTGATAAGCTGACTGTAATCAACGATGACTTCCGTTTATTCTAGGTGGCAATCTCACTTAGCCTTGCTTTCCTATTAGCTACTACAAGGAAGGCATTGGTGATCCCTGGAGCTAGATGGAGCAGGATAGGAAGAGCTATCATCATTTGTAAAAATAAGTTCTGAAGCTGGGTGCTGATGGCTCAAGTCTATAATCCTAGCTACTTAGGAGGCTGAGATCTGACGATATGGTTTGAAGCCAGCCCAGGCAGGAAAGTTTGTGAGATTCTTATCTCCAATTAACTACTCAAAAAACAGAAGTGGAGCTGTGGCTCAAAGTGGTAGTGTAGCTTTGAGCAAAAGGAGCTCAGGGACAGTACCCAGGTCCAGAGTTCTAGTCAATACAGAGGTGGAGACTGGTCTACGACAAGGAATCAGCCTTATTACAATCACATGGTAATCCATTTCTTTTTAAATGGCTGATTATAGGAGAAACCACAAACATAAATGGCTGCTACTCATCAGCCTTGAACAATGTTTTGATTTCACACAATACAGGGTGAGGGGTAGGTGGGAATCCAGCAGAATCTCTCAGCCTCAGGTATATATACCATTTAAAACAGAACTGGGAATTTTATTAGACACTGTAAAAATAACTCACTGGGCATCAGAGGTTGAAGACTCAAGTCAGGGGCTAGACTAGCTTCACATATACAGGTCAGCTATTCTGGGAATCAGGAAGGCAAGAGCCAATGAACAAGACTATTGTTTGTTTACTTAGACTGCCAAATGAAGTTTGTTTGTTTGTTTGTTTGTTTGTTTTTTGGTCTGGCACAAAAGCCATTCTTCAGTTGGGATTGGGAGGAAGAGAGGAAAAGTAGGACCAGGTCAGGGGAGACCAACTGGGTGGACTACAATCCCCAGATCTCTGAGAAGCCTGTATCATTCTGACATGGCAACTGTTATTAATGAATAATGACAGTTTAAGGGGAATAGAAACGTGCAGAGTTTCAGAATTCCAAAGATAATATTTTGGTTTCACTAAAATTTAGTCATTTCTTATGGGGTGACCTACATATGTGAACCTCATGAATCATTGTGCTCATAAGAGAAAAAGGGTTTCAACTCTCACCAGTGAGTGGGCAGTGCAGAGACCAGATTAGCTTGCCAACTGTCAAGACACTTCCACATGACTTACACCTGGTGAACTGATTTTCATATGTCTTTTACAAAACTACTTATTAACGAGATCAGTCACTCCTGTGAGTCTTTTAAAAGTACATGTCTCAGCTGGCACTGGTGGCTCATGGCTGTAATACTATCTACTCAGGAGACTGAGATCTGAAGATAATGGTTTGAAGCCAGCCAGGCACGAAAGTCCCTATGAGACTCTTATTTCCAGTTAACCACTCAAACACTGGAAGTGGTGCTGGACTCAAAGTGGCAGAGAGCTAGTCTTGAACAAAAATTGCTTAGGGACAGTGCCTAGACCCTGAGTTCAAGCACCCCAACCAACAAAATAAAATTAAAGTACACATCTCAAACTCTAGAACTAGGAAGAAAAAGGAAACTTCATTTCCTTGAAGAATGGAGTACTTATTTTTACTGATCACATTTCCTTTTATCTTTAGGAGCCAAGAAACTTGAATATTATCTACCTGCTTCCTAAGGAATGAAGTAAACAAACAGCAAAGATCCCTCTTTCCTTCCGTGCTTAATCCAACCACCAACATGAAATCCTTGACACTATCTTATTCAACTTTGCTTCTACCATCTAGTATAGGTAAGTTACCCATACATTCCTCATAGTTGTTTGTTAACAGCACAGATTAAATTTAACTGATGTTATTATGAACAGCTTGCCTGAAGCAATTGTATAAGACTATGGTCTTAGTCAAAATGGTGTTTTAAGTTAAAAGTGCCTATGTATGTTTGTGTGTGTGCACATACATGTGCACTTGTACCCATGCGCCAGTTCTGGGGCTTAATCTCAGGGCTTGTACACTGTCCCTTTGTACTTTTACTCAAGGCTAGCACTCTACCACTTGAGTCACAGCTCTACTTTTAGCTTTTTGGGGGGTGGTTACTGAAGATAAGAGCCTCATGGACTTTCCTGTTTATTAGGCTGGCCAAACTGAGATCCTCAGATCTCAGCCTCCTGAAAAGCTAGGATTACAGGTACAAGCGTAGCTGGCCACTCCTCCCCACTTTTTAGGAGTTAATACAAAGCTCTTGAAATTGGGTAACAAAAAGATTTTTCTTACATTTTTAAAGCAGGATAAGATTAAACTAAAACAGGTTTAAGACTGCATTTCATAACATTTTTCCTTCCATCTCCAAAGAAAATGATCTTCAGATCGGAAAAGAGAAATGGAACTACCAATTAAGGTGTAACTATATCCCCATAATGAGGGAATTAAAAAAAAAAGGCATCCTGACACTTGAATTAAGATCAAATCTTTAAGCCTAGAAAAACTACACCTTAAAATACTCAAGGGAAAATGAAGGCAGGACATCTAAGCTATTGTATCTCAGAAATCACAGAAAATGGAAGAGGTAGTAGAAGACTAGAGATAAGAAAATGTCTTTACTTTCAAGAGAAGTAAGTTCTAGATATGAGACCAACCTACGAATTATTAAACAAAGTATCATTTCTCAGCCTTTTGGCTAAGATCAAGTGTAGTAAACAAAGTAAGATTGAACAGGAACTTAACTTCTCATTTGTTTATTTACTTATTTGCTGGACGAAGGGCCTGAACTCTGGGCCTGGGCGCTGTCCCTCAGCTCTTCAGCTCAAGGCTAGTGCTCTACCACTTGAACCACAGTGCCACTTTTGGCTGTTTTTGCTCATGTGGTGCTGAGGAAACGAACCCAGGGCCTCATACATGCAAGGCAAGCGCTGTACCACTGAACCACCTTCCCAGCCCTTTGACTTCTCATTTGGAAGCATTCATTCTGCAAGTTCTCAGAACTTGGACAAAGCTAGCAGAGGCAAAGTTAGCAAGATACTGAATTAAAAATAAAATTCAAACAAAAGGGCTAGGGGGCAGCTAGCAGTACGGCATTTGCTTATCCAAGCTAAGTACCAAAGTATCAGGTTCACTCTCCAGTATTGGGGGAAAAAAAATTAACAGCACTAATAACACCGTTTGTTTCTCCAGTCTCTTCTTCAAGAACAATCTCATTCCCAATTCCCAATTATGTTATGTAATCATTTTACCCCAGGATCCTGATGTAGACTCCTATAAGAAATCCCCACTAGTGGTTTGCCACAGAGATCAGCCTCATGTCTGATTTCATAGTTTTACTTGGATGAAGACAGGAGAGCCTGCTTTTCAGTTTTAAACAAGACTAAGTTTGCAATGATAGAAAGTTAGAAAACAAACGATCAAGATTCAAAATTATAAACGGAGACATTGGGCCTGAAGCAAACACCCTGTAAGATACTAACACATTTAAGGGTATACATTTACATTTTTTCATATTGCTCAAGAAGATAGAGAGTAAACACAGCTTGACAATAAATTCTGATGAAGCCACCTGGGAGTTACAGTAGAGTACAACACAAAAATAGCAGCTGCTGCAAACTCTATCAATAAAGCTCAGGCAACATTTGTTTAACATTTTAGGCTAGTGCTGAGATGCTGCAAGACAAAGGCCCAGGGTGAGCTGAACTGGGTGGCATACACCTCTGCCACCTGTCCAGGTGGGATCACACTGCCCAACAAAGGCTAGCCAAGAACACATGTGGCATCTCTCTGACCAGAATCAGCCAAGATGTGTCCTAAGTGGTATGATAATTTCCTTCAATCACTGAAAAGCCAGATATACGGCCAAAGAAAGAACTGATTCTAGACTTGTTCCAAGGGTCAGAGACTCATTTTATAAATTGCCTTTCTAGATTTACACAGAGCTTTTCTTTTTTCTTTAAAAGATAACTGCATCTGGCTATACAGAGCACAAGCATTCCAAGAGCGGTTGTAGTATCAGGGCTGGCTTGTGCCTTGTGTTTCTTCAAGCTACACCCCCTCTCCAGCCCCCGCCTCCCACACTCGGTTTTCCACTGAGCTAACAACTCATCAACTATAGATTTTACTTCAGGCTTACTTTAGGGCTTACTTCTTTTAATTACTCTGATAAAATTTATCCAGGATTCTAAAGAGCAGGACCTCAGGCAGGGGGATGGGATAGAGGAAGAGGCCTTTTTCTGAGCCCTGAGCCTGCTGGAAGCCAAGAACCTGTCACCTGAGTGCCTGCATGGGGCAACTTGATATTCTCTGCAGCATTGGTCACATCAATGGAAGCCCGCACAAGAATGTCCAAGTAGTTGAGTTTAGAATATTCCTGTGGGAGACAATGAGCAGATTAGTCAAATGACAAATGAATTAGGCAATGATCCCAGGGGACAGTTTCACGGCAGAGCCACACCTCTAAAAATGTGCTGTTCCATAACCTTGATCGCAGAACAAGAGAGGCCTTGCTGTCCAGCCCACGCAGTGGGCACCTGATGTTCACGCATCTTGCATTCACGCTGCAATTCTAGAGACAGGGAAATTGGCTGTCAGAATCACCCTATCAAGATGTCCCTTCCCTTGCCCTCTCTGTCATGTGGGCACAGTCCAGAAATGTACTCACCAGGGTCTGGTATTTTCTTTCAGCAAATAAGGAAAATTTTCTGCTCTCATCTATCTGTTTTTCAGCAATTGCCCGTTTCTTTCTTGAGGTGTGAGATTCCTGAAAAGGAATTTATCACAATAGTTCTACTTTATGTCACTCTTTGGCATTATCAAATAAGTCTCATCTCATACAACTCCAAAATCACATAATCAATAATTAATATCAACCCCCCTCTCACCACCAAAAACAGAAATAACTCAAGTGTAAAACCAGTTAAGTGTCAGGACAACTCTAACTTCCGGTCACTCATTAGACTGTTTTGAGTAGTTCAACTATGACCTTGACTCTCAGAAAAAGAAAGAGGCTTCCTTTGGCTTCCCTAAACTGTGAGCAAATGACACCACTGTGACCAGGGTCAGCTTTTCTCCATGGTGCCCATCTCAGGATCTAACTTATGGTAGACAGTCAGCAGGTATGGAATGAGTACATGATATTGAAGAACAGAAAGAGATGCTAATCAGAGAAAAGGATTGCAAACTAAGCCACGAGAACTTTCTTCTTTATACAAGTCGTGTCCCTTCTTGGTAATTCACCAAAAGTGGTTCAGATTTGGGTTCTTTGGACAATTTTAGATTTTTTTTCTTGTTTTAAAAATTAACTTACTAATATTTTTTGTTATCTTTAAGTAGTTGTACAAAGGGGTTTCAACTCAACATGTCAATTTAATCAGTGTCACCTCTTCCATCTTTCTCCTCTACATTTCAAATTGTTGCCTTCCAATTATGAACACCATACTAATCATACGCAATTATCTCAAAATAAAATAGACAGGCTATGATAATGCAAATATTCATCAATCTAGAACGTAAACAAGCCAATGACTTAAGTGCGGAGCAGTATAGACTTAAGAGGGCAGGAATTTAAATACAGAATCATCTGTTCTTAATAGCTGAGCAACTCCAAGAAAGTTACTTAATGTCCTCACCTATGATGATGGGACTAATACCTCATAAGACTACTGAGAGAATGAGAAAATGTAAGCAAGATGCATAGTAAAGCATCAGAGACAATAAATATCTAATGAATATTTACTATTAAAAGTAAGAATAAAGTCGGTGCTTATGGCTCATGCCTGTAATCCTTGCTCCTCAGGAGATTGAGATGTGAGGACTGAGGTTCAGAACCAGCCTGGGCAGGAAAGTCTGTAAGACTCTTACCTCTAATTAACCACTAGAAAATGGGAAATGGACCTGTGGCTCAAAGTGGTGGAGCACTAGTCTTGAGCAAAAGAGCTCAGGGATTGTACCCAGGCTCTGAGTTCAAGCCCCACAACCCAAAAAAAAAAAAAAAAAAAAGAATGAGCTGGATGGTTCATACCTATAACCCTAGCTACTCAGGAGGCTAAGATACATGGATTGGAGTTTGAAGTCAGCCAGGGCAGGAAAGTCTGTGTGCCTCTTTATCTCCAATTAACCTGAAAAAAGCTGTTAGTGGAACTGTGGCTCATAAACAGAAAGAGAGAGAAGTGGGTGCTGTGGCTCAAGTGGTAGAGCACTAGCCTTGAGCAAAAAAAGCTCAGGGACAGTGCCCAGATCCTGAGTTCAAGCCCCAGGAGGGACACACACACACACACACACACACACACACACACACTCACACTCACACTAATCCCATTTACCTGTGCAATAAACACATGCTAATAAAATGACAGAATATTTTAGTTTTTGCAATTTATAGGCATAGTTCAATAAAATAAATTTACTTTGTAAAAAACATGTATACCCTTGAGTACATTTCATCATCGAATGATGATGTATGTACTTGACATCACTCTCAAGGTCACCTGGTAAGGTATATGTATCTTTTTTTTTTGTCAGTCGTGAAGTTTGAACTCTGGGTCTGGGCACTGTCCCTCAGCGATTCAGCTCAAGGCTAGCACTCTACCACTTGAGCCACAGTGCCACTTCTCTCTTTTTCTGTTTATGTGGTGCTGAGGAATTGAACCCAGGGCCTCACACATGTTAGGCAAGAACTCTACCACTGAGCCACCTTCCCTAGCCCTATACATATAATGCCTTTGTCATAATCCAATTTAGAGTTAATACTGGCTGGCTCGCTCCTAGAAGCACATACCAGTCTTCCTTATACAGTTGATTGGGCCATAAAACTTTCAGAAAAGGTCGGGATGGGAAGGTGGCTCAGTGGTAGAGCGCTTGCCTTGCATGCATGAGGCCCTGGGTTCGATTCCTCAGCACCACATAAGCAAAGAGGAAAAAAAGCCGGAAGTGGCACAGTGGCTCAAGTGGTAGAGCGCTAGCCTTGAGCTGAAGAGCTGAGGGACAGTGCCCAGGCCCAGAGTTCAGGCCCCACGACCGGACCCCCCCCAAAAAAAAAAAAACTTTCAGAAAAGGTCATTTGTCTGAATAAGCCCTTAGTGACTGTATGTACCCTATGCCTCAACTATGTTAGAATGTTAGTTTCCTAGCAGAAGCATGATTTCCCTTCAAAGGTCAGCCTCTCTTGTTTACATTTATAGAGAGTTTAGAAAACTCCCAACATACCTTTAGATTCAGGAGGTTTATTTCCTTTTGTGGCTCGCAAACTATCTTTTCCAATCCTTTGGATTCCACTTTCACCAAATAAAGCAACCATTTGCCATTGCTGATTTCTTTAGGCCACTGAATATTCAAGGTTGCTGTGCCAAGGTTTTTAAGAGGTTTACCTAAATTAATTACCTGTTAGAAAATAATACACATTATCTCAATGTAATCTTTGTAACATAAAATCAAGTGAAGATCAATGCTTATTGTCAAGATTAAAAAAAAACAACAAAAAAACAGAAACACCATCCTACAATAACAAGATAGGCTCCAAAAATGGACTAGGATAGAGTATTCAAAGCAGTGATTTGTGCTTAAACAATCCTGCCAGAAAAAAAAAAAAAATGACAAAGAGAATGATTGCTAATATTATCCAGGAATAAGTGTTGCATAAAACAGTCTTAGCAACACAGATATACTTCACGATCTGAACAAACTCAGATAATAGTCCTGTGTACATTTGTGAATTGCTCTGTATAATGGTTAATGATCATCAACTTGATTGGATTGAGAAGCACCAAGGAAATTAGTAAAGCACACCTCTAGAAGGAGTGTGTCTAGAAGGAGATTCCAGAAAGGATTAGCTGGGAGTTGGGAATGGGGAAAAAGGAGGGGTTAACTGTGGGCAACACAATCCCATAGGCTAGGGCCCCAGTGGAATAAAGAGAGAAAAAGGAAGCTGGGTGCTGGTGGCTCAATGCTTGTAATCCTAGCTACTCAGGAGGCTGAGATCTGAGGATTGTGGTTCAAATCCAGCCAGGGCAGGAAAGTGCTGGAAGCAGCACTGTGGCTCAAAGTGGTAAAATGTTAGCCTTGAGCAAAAGAGCTCAGGGACAGTGCTTAGGCCCTGAGATCAAGCCTCATGACTGACAAAAAGTAAACAAAAAAAGGGAGAGGGAGAGTGGGAGGGATGGAAGGGGGAAAGGGAGAGGAAGGGAAGGAGGGGGGCAGAGAGAGAGAGAGAGAGAGAAGAGAGAGGGAGGGAGAAAGGGTGGGAGGGAGAGAAGGAGGAAAAGGGAGAGGAAGAGAGGGAGGAAAAGGGTGAGGAAGAGAGGGAAAGAGGGGAAAAGAGGAGGGAGAGAGAGTGGGCGTGAGGGGGGGAGAGGGAGAGGGAGAGAGAAAGTTAGCTCTCAGTGTTGGCCTTCCCCCCACTGGCCTGTCCACCATGAGGTGACTCCCCACATGCTTCTACACCATCACCATGATTCTGTTCAAAGGACCTTAGTGTGAAATCGAGCCAATGTAAATCTTTCTTCCCTTAAGATTGCTTATGTCAAATATTTTGGTCATCACTACACAAAAGTAACTAATACTATAACCACCTGTTTGGCAGAGGACAGAGCCTAGGCCAAGCAAAGCACCCACAAACTGCTTCTGGGAAACCCTTCTACTGGAAAACAAAGCTGCCTCTGTCCTCTTCTGCCTGGGGGAGACTTTGGGGGAAAGCTATGTGAAAGCCATCCACCTGAGAATGATAGCTGAGAATACAGACAGTTCCTGTAACAGGAGCCAACATAAAGAAGTGGGGAGGACTGTTGCAGAACTTGCAGCCTTCTTGTCCCTCCAGATCTGCACAGAGGCCACGACCACCCACTTCATTGACTCAGCTGTTCTAAGTGACACCAGAGGAGAACCCTGCCTAGTCATCCTACTAGAGTCCTGTTGATGCCATTTCACATGTTCATCTCAACATTCACTATACTCTCAGGAATGTGATTTGCATGAGCAGATCGAGCTCCACACATGAATTATGGGAGGACTTCACACTCATGTTTATGCTCATTCAGTTGGGCAGTCACTGTGATCACCTTCTTTGAAATGACCCAGAGCCCATCATGAGTCTTTTTTGTTGTATACCACCTCTACATTCACTATCACAAATGTGCTGGCCATCTGGGGCTCCCACTTATAATCCTAGCTACTCAGGAGGCTGAGATCTGAGGATGACAGTTTGAAGTAAGCCTAGGCATAAAAGTCTGTTTGATTTTCATCTCAAATTAAGCACTAAAAAGCTGGAAAGAGGAACTGTGGCTCAAGTGGTAGAGTACCAAGAAACAAACAAGAAAAATATACAAAATGAAAAAGGGAAACAAACAGTACTCTTTCAACCATGACCATTAAGAAAGATAACCATATAATAGAGGAAGAAAGAAATTACTCCTTCTCAAGTCAAATAGAAATTACTTTGAGACCGACTTTTCTTTGTTTGATAGAATCTGGGGGAAGCAATCAAGTGCTACTTTGTCTCTGTACCATATATACATTAAAACACTAATAAACTGTATTAGATTTTAAATAAAAACTTTATGCAGAGTGACACTTCTTTTTCACTCCAATAAAAACAAATATAAAGTTTTTAATGTAGACCAGTATGTCACTTAAAATCTGGCAAACTTATTTCTAACTGAATATTAATGTACAATGCTTATAATCACTTATTTGTTAAACTTACCAGTTCCAGACTCCACCTAAATTATCTTACCTTCTGGTACTTGAAAAAGATTCAACTCACCCTGAATTCATATTCAATTAAGCTCCCCACTTCATCTTCGGATTTCATAGCTTGTTCACCCACAACTGAACCTCCAAAATACACCTGGGAAGGTTTAGCAACTCTGTTAAATTAAAAAAACACCAGGTTTTAGTGAGGATTGTAAATGGTTCTTTCAAACATTGATTTGTTATGCTAAACATAAACACTTACCCAGAGACCGATAAAAGCAGTTCAATAACCACTTTTGCTTTTGCTGTAATTGGAGCCAAATTATCTTGATTGCTTGTTCTGAAAATGAAAAGGAAACAATAGGGTTTTATTTTAACAGTCAGTTTTCTCATTACAATTACACTCCTTTTAGGAGTTAGATCAGTGCCAATTCATTGACTGCCAGGGTTTTCGTGAAATAATTCTGAATGGGAAGGTTGGAGAAACTCTTACGTTTCCAACTTCAGGTTAATGTCCAGGTCTGTGGTGTCAAAGGTGACCTCAGTTGTACTTAAAATCAAATAAAAGGTAACCTAAAAAAAATAATAGAAATAGCTGTTAATATAGGGCCAAGCATATGGACATGGTCCTGGCGTTCAATGCAGTGAAACATGGTTGGTATGGGATGAGATCACCTACACTGGAATTCCTTTTAAAAGGGTTTCCGAGTTCACAGTCCGCTTGGGAACCATTCTGGTTGGCAACGCAACTCAGCTGTTTCTCCTATAGCAGAAAAAAGTATTAGGTCACCATCCACTTGTGTGCCATGTAGTGTTGGGTTTGCCCTACCCAGTGCTCTCCAAAAATACTTACAGGGAAAGCCCTCAGTTCTCGGTATGCAGAGTAAGTCAATGTGTCCGGAAATGTCGCAACTAGTTTAGCCTCGTGGGCGTCATCTCCATCTTTTTGGGGAGCTCTTGGATTGGAAGGGCTGTTTGTCACTGTTATTTCCAAAGCAATATCCTTCTGATCTTTTAGAACTAGTTCTGGTATGCCTTTTTGACTATTAAAAAGTAATGACAAAGAGAGAGAAACAGAGAGAGAGAAAAGTCCTCAATACATTCTCTGTAATCTTGGCTTAACCACAAGCCACCTCAAAGCCAGAGTCATTGTTGCTAGTGCTACAGAGAAATTCTTACATTGGAAGGTAAGAAAATTTGTCCTGATTTCCTTCTCGGGTACAAAATTTATATTCTAGTTTAAGGTTGCTGTTACAAACATTGTCATCTCCACATCCCTCTTTTAAGAAGTGTACCTGTAGGAAAACAAAAGCAGAAAGGAATCTAAAGAGGTTTCCATATAGCCCATTTCCTCAGGTAAGTCAGAGTTCATGTTCCAACATGCTTTGCCCTACCTATTTGCCCTGCACTCTCCTTTATCAGATGCTTTCATTAGGGTCAAGGCAGCTGGTTGCAAAAGAATGTGAGCCCTAAAACCACAGAAAATCTGAGTTCTGAACATAGCTCTGCCATTTGCTGAGCTGTGTGATTCCAGACATATCTCTTAAATTTCACCGTAGTTACATAAGAATACCACCATTCTACTTTAAATAATTAACTGTAATAATACCAATAACCTTGATGCTAATACGTGTGTGTGTGTGTGTGTGTGTGTGCTCAAGGCTAGTAGTGCACTAACTGAACCAGAGTTCCACTTCCAGCTTCTCAGTGGTTAACTGGACAAAGTCTCACATATTTTCTTGTCTAGGTTGGCTTCAAATCATGATCCTCCTATCTCAGCCTCCTGAGATAGCTAGGATTAGAGAAGTAAGCCATTGGTGCCTGGCAATTAATATATTTTGTCCTTTAATCCTCCCAATGAATCTCTGAGTACATACCATTATTATGAGTCTCATTGTATTGTATGAGTCTCATTATTATGAGTCTGTTTTCCCAACTAGGAAAACAGAAAGCTTCCAATTAGAAAAGCAAATGACAGGGAGCATTTAGCATGATGTTCAATAATGTAATGGATCATCACACTGCTGGGTAGGAATATGGTTTCCTGCTTTTTTTAACCTGGCTCTGGAGCTGACAATGTGTATAATAAATACTGACAACATAGTATTAACATCAAAGACCACAAGTATACACCAGTATAAAAACTCCATTTGGTTACAAAAACAACTGACAAAGTATAGAAAAAGAGGCCGGGGCGGGGAGGGGTTGGGTAATAGTTTGTTGGGCATTGATGCTAGCACCAAAATAATACTACTAGATCAATATGTTACAACTCCCAGACTAACCTGCATCTCACCATCATGAACCCTGGGGAAGAGCCCCCATCTCACATGAGGTACCCAGCAAGCCATGTGATGTAATTTTTTTCTGCCTAAGATGACCTAGGCTGCATTAGGCACTAAATGACTATTCACTGCTAATGTGGTTTTTTTTTGTTGTTAATCTATTTTTGTCTTGCAAAATTTCATATTCCTTCATTAATGTTCTAATGATGTTTTTTCCTGCATTTAAATTTTTTTATTTATTTTTGGTGCTAATACTGGGGCTTAAACTTAGGACCTCATGCTTTTGCTTGGCATTTCCACTCAAGGTTGGTGCTTTTTTAATTGAGCCACACCTTCACTTCCAAAGTTTTGCTGGTTAAATGAAAATAAGAATTTGGCAGATGTATCTCCCCAAGCAGGCTTCAAACTGTGATCCTCAGCTCTCAGCTTCCTGAATAGCTAGAATTACAGGTGTGAGCCACCAGGACCCAGCTACATTATATTGGTGTGTGTGTGTGTGTGTGTGTGTGTGTGTGTGTGTGTGTGTGTGAGTGTGTGTGTGTGTGTGTGTTGGTACTGGGGCTTGAATTCAAGGCCATACATTCTTGCTTGGCTTTGTCACTCAAGACTGGCACTCTACCCCTTGAGCCACCTCTCATTTCATTGTTCTTATTGGTTAAATACAATATATTTTTCTTTCTATACATAGGATAAACAATATGAGAATATAAGCTTTGCCACTTATAGTTCCAATTAACTTATAGTGTCCAAAAATAAGACAAAATACTCCCTTGACCCCAACCTGTTTTTTATAGGTTTCTATGTTCAATGCTAATTTGCAAAGAAGGTCCTCTCAGTCCAATTTTATATACCTTGAAAAATGCTAATAACAAGCCGTGGTCTTTAAAGTAAATCACTAGTTCTACTATTTTGGGGAGACATTTGATTTAGCATTAGAATACAACAAAAACTTGGGTAAAAGCTATCCGGATGACTTACGTCTGTATGGACCGTCTTGGGCTCATTGGAGTTCAGGATAGGAAGAACCTCTGGTAGGGAATTCACACGCCGGCGAGAGTTGGGCTCCTGAATCTCCACAGAAGCAGTTATGGGGATGGGACGTAATTTGTCTCTGATGTTTTCCTACAAAGTGTGTAGTGACACAATTAAGTTCATTCAAAATGCAACTGGGGGCTCCAAGAGGATGACCATGCATTGATTAATGTGATGCTTAAACAAGTATGATTGAATATGAATCATTAAACAGCTGAAGGCCTGAACTCACCTGCAGCCAGAGGGTTTCCTCCATGCAAGTGCGCTGCTTCTGCCTGTTCAGAGTGAGCTCCTGTGTGTACCTGGGCTCAGAGGCTTGGCGTCGAAACTGAACTCGTGATGACAGCCCTGACTTTCTTCTTTCTTTTTCAGCTTCCAATGTGCCCAAAATTGCTAGATAGAATGAACAAAACCCTATTGACTTATAATATACTCATGCACCATGCAGCTACAAGTATGTCGAGCTCCTTTTGAAATACTTTCATTTCCTTCTGCCCTTGTTTCATTCCTATTTCTCAATAAGAGCCTTGGGATAATTTGTGATACGTTGAATTAAACTGTTCTTTCCTCCCCCTAGCTTCCGACAGCATTGTAAAGGTAAATTTTCACTGGGCCACCTGGGGGAGCTCCAGAATAAGCCAAAACTTGCAGCAGCTAATAATCAGTTTCTGGTTGAATTTCAGGAAACCACAGAGGACTAAAGACAACTAAAGACAACATCTGACACTCCCTCAGGACCTGCTTCCTTCAGTCTATATTTCAGTGACCTTCTGAGTAGGGCTTTTGCTACATGAAAGAGTCTCTGAGAGAAGCACTGGTGGCTGATGCCTGTAATCCTAACTATTCCAAAGGCTGAGCTCTGAGTAAGGATCCTAATTCAAAACTATCTTGGGCAGATAAATCCAAGAGCCTCTCATCTTCAATTAACCAGCAAAAAGACAGAAGCAGAGCTGTGGCTCAAGTGGTACCCCGCTAGTCTTGAGCAAAAAAGCTAAGAGACAGCTCCGAGTCTCTGCGTTCAAAACCCAGTACCAGTGTGCATGTGAACACACATACATACACACACACACACACAAATGGGCAATAATTTTCTGTTTAGAAGTTAGCAAGCACATGTGTTTCATGATAATAAAGCTGAAGTTTGCAACCTGCCAGTCTAGAACAGCAGCCTGCTCTTGATTACCTCTACTAATGGAGTGTGGAGGCCAGCCAGGATTTGGATTATCAAAATCTCATTTCTGGACTTCAGAATGCATTCTTCGTCGGGTCACTGGATATAGCTACTAACTATGTTTTCTATGGGCCAATACTTAAATTACTTACATTCATTAGGTACTCACTAACCATCAGAAGGGAAAGCAAACCAAACATGTGCCAAGGCCCAGAGATGGCAGCCTCAAGAAAAAAAAATCCACTTCAGAAAATAAACAGCCTATTCCCAATATTTGCATTAAGGTTGGAGTAGATTTTCAAAAAAATAAAAAAGGGCATCTATTTGAATACCTTCTTCATCTTTGCAAGAGAAGAAAAGGAGACCCAAGGTCATTACAGTAAGGGATGGAGGTGCCAGCATCTCTTATTGCAAACAAAGCTGACTGCTCTACACTGCCACTTAGACAGCAAGTCTCCTGTGCCTCTCTCCTTTCTCACCCTTCTGGCTAACCCTCCTCTTCCTTTAACTCTCAATCTCTCTTCTGACCACTTCTCCCAAGAAACCTGCCCTATTGCATCACCCAGGACTATTCTGTCTCCTATTCTCCAATTGCACTGCGTTGTGATTGCTGACTCTTCTAGTATGGGGCAATGCTGAGGCCAAGAACCACATGAGCTTGTTCACTGCCACAGTCCCAACCACTACTAATACCCGAGAGAAATACAATATGTAACATGAGCAAAAGCTGGGTAACTAACTCTAGAATAACAGACACACACCCACACACCACACACACATATACAGAGGATGTAACATTCTTGACAGCTATTTAAGACCAAAATTCAGAATCACCATCAGTTTCAATAGTAATTTCTGTGTCTATCTGAAGAATTCTTAAATGTCACAGCTGCCAGATGGAATGCTCCCCATTTTAGGCCTTCTGTAACCTTTTATCATCCATTTATCAGTGACCTGCTAACTTCACAATGAGCGAGACAAAGGCTCACATATTGAGTGCCTCCATAGCCAAAGTATGGGAGGGTATGGATGCATTAAAACCGTTTATCTACCAAACCCACAGTAACCTTCTACAACCTCCCAGACAACCTACATCCTCTTGAAATCCTCGCAAGCCACTTCTGTTGACCTTCTGAGGGCCAGGCCAAGTAGAATACTCATTAAGGCTCAATTATAAATATCTGTACGTAGGAATGCTACATTTGAGGGCTGCCATTTTAAAATATTCTGGCCAAACAATACGCTCACATTTTGGGATACTGAAGAAGATTCTAGATGTATTAACTTAGGCAGCTCTATGGAAGCCCTTTTATTTCATTTAGAAGTTCTCAGAACCACAGAAGTAGAAGTAATGAAAGCAAGTGTTCTGTCTTAAAGAGGAAAAGTTCCATCCACCATAGGCCAGCAACAAACACTTAACTAATGGAACAGTTATAGACTATAAAAGCAATGTACGTAGCATCTAGTATTGTATGAAAGCTAGGATAAACTCTGTAATTTCTCTTATATCGAAGTTAATGTGAAGGAAAGAGTGTTCTGATGAGATTTCACACTGATAATCAAATAATCTACAGTGGTTTGAAAAAGAAATGGCAGTCAGCTGACACTGGTGACTCACACCTGTAACCCTAGTTATTCAGGAGGCTAAGATATGAAGATCACAATTTGAAGCCAGCCTGGGCAGGAAAGTGTATGAGACTCTTACCTCCAATTAACTACCAAATAGCCAGAATGGATCTATGGCTCAAGTGGTAGAGTGCTAGCCTTGAGTGCAAAAGCTAAGGGACAGCACCCAGATGCTGAGTTCAAGTCCCATTACCAGCACACGCACACACACACACACATACACACACACACACACAAACACACGCGCGTACACACACACACATGCACACACACACACACACACACACATACACACACACAGCAGTTAGAATAATAGAATATAAACATTTTCTCATTCCTTCTCTGTACCTGAGAATCACAGCTTTCTTCCCGTCTTTCTATTCTATTACAAACACAGGTAGAGGCCTGTGATCCAGGAGGCAGGGTAAGTTACTACATTTGGGTAAAATAGCACAAGTGATAATAAAAGCATGAGACCCTGAGAAAATTGTAGTATAGGTCTTTGTCATTAAAAGCCACATAGCAAAATGCCAGCTTCCTGAAAAAGCAAAGTGAAAAACCACAGCATCTGTGAACAAGGTCATGATACAACCACATCAGAAATGCTTTGTGCAGATCTGCAGAGACCAGACAGAAAGAATCTGCCCAGCAGACAGGAGGAAATTAAGAAACCACTCAAGAACAGCTTAAAAGTTGTAAAGATGAAGACCAATTGGGCCTTAGAACGTGAGAACTTTAAAAATAATAACAATAGCTGGGCTGTGGCTCATGTCTGTAATCCTAGCTACTCAGGAGGCTGAGATCTGAGGATCGTGGTTTTAAGCCAGGCTGAGAAGGAAAGTCTGTGAGATTCTTATCTCCAACAAACTACTCAGAAAGTGGCGCTGTGCTCAAGTGGTAGAGTGCTAGCCTTGAGCACAAAGAGGCTCTGGGACAGTACACAGACCCTGAGTTCAAGCCCCAGGTCTGGCAAAAAAAAAAAAATAGTAATAATAATAATAGTCTGGTGCCAGATGCTCATGCCTATAATTCTAGCTACTCAGGAAGCTGAGATCTGAGGATCACAAACCTAAGCCAGCCCAGCCTATTCAGGAAAGTCTATGTGACTCTTATCTCCAAACAACTATCAAAAACCAAAACTAAACCCAACCCAAAACAAAACAATAATTAAAAAAAAAGTAGAGCTAGCCTTAATCAATAAAGCTCAGGGACAGTGCCAAGGCCCTGAGTTCAAGCCCTAGGACTGGCACACATGCATGTACGCACACATATGTGTGCACACACACAAATAATAATAATAATAAACCAGAATATTTAAACTTAATTTTTCATAACCCATTGAATGTAATCATTCTATTTCCTAAGTGTTCACTACTATTATATAAAATCAAATTTTCAGAATGAGAAACACAGTCAAGAGCAGAGTGAGAGTGTATTTGAATTAGGTTAAATTCTGGGATACTAAGAGACACACTTTTGTGTGTGTGTGAGACTAGTGTTTGGACTCAGAAGCTCATACTGGCTCAGCGTGTTTGCTCAACTGATGCTCTACCACTTGTACCATGCCTCCAGTCCATCTTTTGGCTGGTTATTTTGGAATTGTGGAGTATCAAGGAATTTTCCACTTTAAGCTGGCTTCACTTATTCCCCCCCGCCCCCCGCCCCCCCCCCTCGCCTTGGTCCTGGGTGCTGTCCTTGAGCTCTTTTGCTCAAGGCTAGCACTCCACCACTTGAGCCACAGGGTCACTTCTGGCTTTTTCTGTGATTAACTGGAGATAAGAGTCTCATGGACTTTCCTGCCTGGGCTGGCTTTGAACTGCAATCCTCAGATCTCAGCCCCCTGAGTAACTAGGATTATAGGTGTGAACTACCAGCACCCAGATCCTAGGCTGGCTTTAACCTGAGATCATCTGGATCTCAGTGTCCTGAGTACCTAGGATTACAGCACAAATCACCAGAACCCAGCAATAGGCTCATCTATTAAAATGAACAGGAATACTTTAGAATTTATTAATCAAAGTAAAATAAGGATTGATGAGGTAACATACCAACCCACCTGATCCTCCACCAACTCTAGGTAGCATACTGACTACACCAAGTTCTGCTCTTGGAAAGGATTTTCTTTAAATACCAACACACTACTGTCTCTACTCTGGAGTTGGGTCAAGTGGCTCACACCTGAAGAGCTTTGGCTATTCTTAAAACATACCAGGAAGAACCTCATTATATATACTATTTGAGCTGGGTTAAAAACTTGGCTAAAATCTAATTTGGATTACAGCAGAAGGAAGCAGAATCATGTACAAGGAAAACTGCTTTCCATCATGGTTCTTCTCATGTGGCCACCACTATAATCCTAGGCATTGAGGACCATTAGAGGCCTTGTTCTTAGGGAAAATTAAATGGGAAAGGTTAAAGATTTGCCCCAGATTGTGTGGTCATTCGGCTTCGAGGCTCAAGTTTCAGAATCTGTGTCCTACTCCCCAGGGCCCCCCTTCAAGTACACAGGAGCCTGGCCCTTAGGAACTGGGAGCACTCTGGGGATCTGGGACCCCAGCAGTTGTCAACCTGGCATTGATTTCCATTCCAGCTGTGCTCTGGCTACAACAGTTGCCCCTCTACACCCCCTCTTTTTCTCCATACACACAACCACAAAGCCAATTTTCCACACTGCTTTGCAAAGACAGAAACCAAGAAAACCATTGCGATATGAAATAAGTACTTTTCCAATGTATTCTGTCCCAAACCATCTGCTCTGGAAAATTCAAATGGGGACCAAATGGAGAGTTGTTCTTCCCTCATGGTGCTGTGGCCTCTTGATTAAAGGGGAGACCACAGATACACTTAATTCTTAACCAGGACCTGAAGGATCTACTTGGGCCACAGCAGTTTTGTTTTTCTGTAATTTATGCAGAATGTTCAACCTGGCAGAGAGAAGAGATTTTTGTACTGTACTAGGTACTCACAGATTGAAGGATTATAACCAGTGGGTTTGGCAGTATATTCGAAACAGGCTTTCACCTTGAGGCTGTATAAAAATCAAACAAGTATTTCTTAAAAGATGTATTGTTGCAGAGAAAACACCCAACATGGTCCCAAGCTCTCTGATCCTCTACCTCCTCATCCCAATCGGTGGCTCTGATGTATAAAAATAATGTAATAGTCATTGTACAGGTTCCTCTTCCCTTTGCCCCACACACCCTGGACCTTGACCTTGACCTGTGTGGCTCCTGAGGGCAGCAGAGTAATTGTGAAGCTAAAGAGGTTCCCAAGAATCCAGAAGGACTTACCAGATCCCGCTGGGGGCCCCACACACGGATTTCTGGCGGAGATCAATTTTGCTCGGAGTTACTGTGATCATTTTCTGAACACTGATCACAGGCCGGGATCTGAAGACAAAGACATGAAGAATAAGTTCAGCCTTTGGTGCTGTTTTATTGGTCAGTCATGGAGCTTGAACTCAGGACCTGGATGCTGTCCCTGAGCTCTTTTGCTCAAGGGTAGTGCTCTACCACTTTAAGCCACAGCTCCACTTCTGGTTTTCTGGTAGTTAACTGGAGATAATCTCATGGACTTTCCCGCCTGGGATGGCTTTGAACCATGATCCTCAGATCTCAGCCCCCTGAGTACCTAGAATTACAGGAGTGAGGAACCAGTACCCAACTGGTGCTCTTAAATGTGAGTTATTCACAGACCAGGCAATATCTCTGCCCACTACAGCTCAACCACCATGAGAAGACAAATGGAAATGTTTACATGTGTGCTTGCTTTTCCTTATATATATGGTTATATATGTATGGTCATATATATAAAATACATATATGGTTAACTAAGTAGGTGCTTTTTAATGTCTATTCTTTTTTCTCAATATATATTTTTTATTGTAAAGATTCTGTACAGAGGGGTTACAGAACATGAGTAAGGAAATGAATACATTTCCTATCAAGCATTGTTACCTCCTCCTTTGTTTTTCCCTACCATCCCTTCCCTCCCCACATCCCCAACTCCTCCCTCCCTGCCCCAAAGTTGTAAAGCTTGTTTTCAACATAGTGTCTTGTACATCTCATTGTTACAATGGGTCAACTTGTATGCTTATTTCAGTATTTTGTTATTTCCCTTCCCCTCCCCAAATTAGAAAAACATATATACAAGATGTAGGGTACCAGAATCAAATATCGTTCTACCATGGAGGAAGAACATACAAGAGAAACAACAACAAAAAAATCACATCGTACATTATAAGTACATTAAAAACAACAGCAACAAAGATAAAACATCTTATGACCCTATCTTGGGGTTCAGTTAGCTTGGCAATATCTTATATGTACATAGTTTTTGAACTTTTCTGCTTGTCATAGACATATACTAGTTATTGCAGATAAGGGAAACCATGGCCTGACTTACTTCACTTAATATAATTTTTTTCCAAGTCTTTCCATTTCCTAACAAATGGGGTGGTGTCATCTTTCTGATGGAGGCATAGAATTCCATTGTGTGTGTGTGTGTGTGTGTGTGTGTATAATGCATATATATCACATTTTCTTGATCTATTCTATCTTTCTGGATCATTCATCTACTGAGGGGCATCTGGGTTGGTTCCATATCTTAACTATGGTGAGTAATGCTGCGATAAACATAGTTGTGCTGGTAGCTTTAGTATGGCTTTGTTTGTGATTGTTTGGGTAAATGCCCAAAAGTGGGATTGCTGGGTCATCGGGGAGTTCTGTATGTATTGTTTTGAGGAACCTCCATACTGCTTTCTAAAGTGGTTTATATCTATTCTATATGTTGTTTAGTGTCATTCATGAACACTTTGGAGGTCTCCTCCTGTCGTGTCCTGTACACATAGGTCGATTTCATGGCTTTTTCTACCTAGCGGTAGTGTGCTCTATTTCTATTACTATAGCATCTTTTACCAATTCCAGGTCAGTACAAAACCCCTCTTATTGTTGGGCTTCCTGAGGTTAGCTGTAGGATAAATTCCTAGCAGTAATTTTTTTTTTTTTGGTCGGTTGTGGGGCTTGAACTCTGGGCTTGGGCACTGTCCCTGCGCTCTTCAGCTCAAAGTGAGCACTTTACCGCTTGAGCCACAGCACCACTTCCGGTTTTCTAGTGGTTTATTGGAGATAAGAGTCTCACGCTATACAGTATTTTCACAATTAAAAAAAAAAAAGAGTTTCACAGACTTTCCTGCCCGGGCTGACTTTGAACCATGATCTTCGGATCTCAGATGCCTCCTGAGTAGGTAGGATTACAGGCATGAGCCACTGGCACCCGGCCCTAGCAGTGATTTCTGACTCAAAGTACATACACATTTAAAAATGCTTTATATAAATTTACTGTTAAATTGATATGCAATTCCAGAACTCAGGAAGCTGAGTCAAGACAATTACAAAATTTAGGCCAGTCTAGACTACATACCTTGTCTTCAGGAAATAAAGTAAGACATGTATATATTATATTTGTTTGTGTTTTCCAGTACTAGTATCTGAACTCAGAGCCTCCTACTTGCTTAACTGGTACTCTACCACTTGAGCTATGTCTCCAGTCTGGCTTTTTGTCAGTTGTGGGGCCTGAACTTAAGGCCTGGCTGCTGTTCCTGAGCTTTTGTGCAAGACTATCATACTCTACCACTTGAGCAACAGATCCACTTCTGGTTTGGGGTGATTAATTGGAGGTAAGAGCCTCACTGACTTCTCTGCATGGGCTGACTTTGAATCATGATCTTTAGATCTTAGCCTCTTGAGTAACCAGCTAGGATTACAAGTGAGAGACTGGTGTCCTGCCTATCTGGCTTTTTGCTGGTTATTTTTGGAGAGTCTCATGGACTTTTCTGTCCACGATGGCTTTGAATTGTGATCCTCCAAATCTCAGCCTCCCAAGTAGCTAAAATTACAGGCCAGGGCTATCAGCGCTTGGTTTGTGTATTGTTTAAATTCTGGTAAACTCATCATCATTTAATGATGAATACATTCAAGGGCTGGGACACAGCTCAAGTGGTAGTGAGAGATGTTACCTAGCTTATCCAAGGCCCTCAGTTCAATCCCAAGTGCTAAAAAAGAAAACATTCAAAATCAAGTATGTAGGGCTGGGAATGTGGCTTAGTGATAGAGTACTTGCCTAGCATGCATGAGCCCTGGGTTCAATTCCTCAGTACCACATAAACAGAAAAAGCCAGAAGTGGCACTGTGGCTCAAGTGGTAGAGTGCTAGCCTTGAGCAAAAGAAGCTGAGGGACAGCGCCCAGACCCAGAGTTCAAGCCCAGTACTGACAAAAAAAAAAAAAATCAAGTATGTAACATGTCTTTAGAGCTTCTTGTCCTATCTAACTGCAACTTAATACCTACTGCCCAACCTTTCTCACTCTATCCTTTCCAGCCACTGGTAATCACCCTCCTACTCCCAAATTTACTGAATTCAACTTTTTTAGATTCTATATATGAGTGAGATCATATGGCACTTGTCTGTCTGTGCCTGACTTGTTTCACTTAACATAATGATCTCTAATTCTAGCCACGTCGTCTCATGACAAGACTTCGTGTTTAATGGCTGAATAGTATTCCACTGTGCATATGCACCACATTTTCTTTTTAGCTGTTGGACACTTTGGTTGCTTCCATTCCTTGGTTATTGCTGCAGTAAAAATGGGAGTGTAGGTACCTCTGAAATACTAATTTTATTTCGTGTGTCTATAAGAGTGTGTGTATGTACCTTCATACTGTTTTCCATAATGGCTGTACTAACTTACATTCCCACAAGTACAGTACAAGGTTCTCTTTTCCACATCTTTGTCAGCATTTACCTTTTGTCTTCTTTGTACAAGTTGTTGTATGCTGTTTGGTAAAATGTCCCTCTTACTATTCAAGTCTATAGGGTTCATTGTCAAATATGTGCTTTTTTTGTTTTTGTTTTTTTGGGGGGGTCCGGTCGTGGGGCCTGAACTCTGGGCCTGGGCGCTGTCCCTCAGCTCTTCAGCTCAAGGCTAGCGCTCTACCACTTGAGCCACACCACCACCTCCGGCTTTTTTCTTTTTTTGCTTATGTGGTTCTGAGGAATCGAACCCAGGGCCTCTGGCATACAAGGCAAGCGCTCTACCACTGATCAACCTTCCCAGCCCCAGATGTGTGCTTTTTTGTTGTTGTTGGCAGTGGTGGGGTTTGAACTCTGGGCCTGGGCACCATCCCTGAGCTCTTTAGCTCAAGGCTACCATTCTACCACTTGAGCCACAGCACTACTTCTGGTTTTCTGGTAGTTTACTGGAGTTAAGTCTCACGGGGACTTTCCTGCCCTGGCTGGCTTTGAACCATGGTCCGCAGATCTCAGCCTTCTGAGTAGCTAGGATTACAGGCATGAGCCACCAGCGCCCAGCTAAGTATGTGCATTTTTAATTATAAGGACCCTTGTTAAAAATACTTTCCATGAAACTTACACAATAATGCATCTAACTCTAGGCTGGTATCAGGGTCTCTGTGCTAATTTGGACAATATACCAATCCTGAACTTTTTTTTTTGTTTTTTGTCGGTCGTGGGGCTTGAACTCTGGGCCTGGGCGCTGTCCCTCAGCTCTTCAGCTCAAAGCGAGCGCTCTACCACTTGAGCTACAGCGTCACTTCCGGTTTTCTGGTGGTTTATTGGAGATAGGAGTCTCACGGTCTCTCCTGCCCGGGCTGGCTTTGAACCTCGATCCTCAGATCTCAGCCTCCTGAGTAGCTAGGATTACAGGCATGAGCCACCAGCGCCCGGCCCAATCCTGAACTTTTAAGTCTCCATCTTGCAAACATTTATCCTTTATCCTTTCTCAGAATCTCTCATCCCCAGCCTTAAAAAAAATAAACAAAAAACAGACTACAACCTTTCTAACCCCACAATATCTCTGTCAGCAGAAACTTGAGTTCTTAACCTTTTCTCATCTCTGCTCCAAGGCTGTCAACCCTCAATAATGTGGAATTCCTCACCTTTACTCTGTTCCTTATGTGAAAACAAAGTTTTTCTCCCTGCTATATTTCGCTCTGGGGCAGGCCAGGCGGTTACTATGGCTTCAGCAATGTCACAGTCAAGATGAAATGCCAGTACATAGTAGTTGGGGGCAAGAGGAATGCAGGTGGGCTGAGAAGATCCTACCATATGTCCGACCTCCATGGCTCCCCACCTAAAACTCAGAATGCATCTCTGATTTCCCTTCCACATGGATTCAGTTAGGCAGACTTCGGTGGGCTTGCGGTAAACCCAGCCATTCTGGAGAACAGTATTTTTATAGGAAAATTTGTTCCAAATCCCAGCTCAACCTTCTGGAATCAATCTATTGATAAGCTGTGAAGGGCCTGAGCCATTCACAACAAAGGCAAGAGGCCAGTAAAAGGGAAAATACTACCCACTTTCCTGTTTCTCCATGTCCCTTTATCTTGTATGCTTACCTTTTTATTTTACTGTATATTTAGACAGTTTCAAATTTTAGGATACTAATTAACTAGGTATATTCTTAATTTCAATGTTGAGAACACATTTAAGAGGTAAATATATTCATATTCCTCATTTATTATATTCACATAAGTATCTTACAATAAGTTCCATACTTGTAGTGTGTTTTACACATAATGTAAATTGATGTGAAATAAATTAGCACACATTTCTGTCGGAGGTCTGCTTTCTTATTTATTTTTTTGCCAGTCCTGGGGCTTGAACTCAGAGCCTGGGCCCTGTCTCTGGGCTTCTTTTGCTCAAGGCTAGCATTCTACCACGTGAGCCACTGCATCAATTCTGGCTTTTCCTGTGGCACTGAGGAATCAAATCCAGGGCTTCATGCATGCTAGGCAAGCACTCCACCACTATGCCACATTTCCAGCCCTGCTTTCTTTTTTAACTACATCACATACCCGACTTTTTGTTTGTGTGTGCCTATAGTAGGACTTGAAATCAGGGCCCGGATACTGTCCCTTAAGTGTTTCTGCTCAAGGCTGGCATTCTACCACTTGAACCAAAGCTCTATCTTTGGCTTTTTTTTTTTTTTTTGCTAGTCCTGGGCTTGAACTCAGGACCTGAGTACTATTTCTGAGCTTTTATGCTCAAGACCATCATTCTCTAGCTCTTGAGCCATAGCTCCACTTCTGACTTTTTGGTAGTTACTAAAGAGTCTCATAGACTTTCCTGCCTGGACTGGCTTCAAACCACCAACCCCAGATCTCAGCTTCCTGAGTAGCTAAGATTATAGGCATATGCCTGAGTAGCAAGGATTACAGGCGTGAGCCATCAGTGGCCAAACTTCACTTCTGGTTTTTTGATGGTTAATTGGAGATAAGTCTCTTGGATTTATCTGCCTGAGCTTGGCTGGAACTGTGATCCTCAGATTTCAGCCTCCTGAGTAGCTAAAATTGCTACTGTGAGCTACCAGCATCTGGCTTAATATATACAATTTTGAGAAACAGTATAGTACATATAAAAGTGAGGAAAAATCTCTTATACTACATAAGGCCCATCTCCCTGGCTTAGCTGCCTATGGTGAATTGGCATTTTATTTATTAACTACTCTGAAGGAGTAGTATGATTCAGTGGTAAGATACTGAGGACTGGGGTTGGCAAGATTTAGGAACTATACCTCATGCTCAGAATAGCCTTAGAAACTGAAGCAAATCCTGGGCCTCAGTTCCCTTGTTTATAAAACAAGGGGGTTCATTCTCTTCTTGTTAGCAAAGGATTTTGAAATTGTTTCTCAAGACTATCTCTGAGGAAAGAAAGCTAGTTTTTAAAGTATATTACCAATGTACTTGTGATGATAGAAAAGCAGAAAAAAATCAAATATCAATATACACAGACAAAAACAAATATTTAACTCAAATATATATGGTTACTAGTCAGGTACAAAAAGTGGCACAAGCCTGTAATTCTAACTGCTCAGGAGGCTGAGATCTGAGGATCACAGTTTGAAGCCACTCTGGACAGACAAATCCAAGAGATACTTATCTCTAATTTACTAGCAAAAAGCCAGAAGTGGGGGTGTGGCTCACGTAATGGAGTACCAGCCTTGAACAAAAAAGCTAAGGGACAGTGCTCAGGCCTGAATTCAAACCCAGTACCAATACTGTAAACGAACAAGTGACTGAATAAATAATTTAAAGAAAAGGAAAAAGGAGAAAAAGTCCTTTTCTAATGGTGATTTCCAGCTACAATAAAAGCTGTGGAAAAGGTAGTCATTTGCCCAGTCTCCAAGAATCAAGACTGTAAGTACACAGATCATCTTCCCTTTCAGAAACATATGGTAAGATGCCAGGCACCAGTGGTTCATACCTGTAATCCTAGCTACTCAGGATGCTGAGATCCAGAGGTTTGCAGTTCAAAGCTAGCCCTGGGCACAAAAACCCTGGACTCCTTCGTTTCAGAAGGTGCTCAATGACATGGGAGAGGTCACTGCGATCATAAATGGACAAAACCAAGTTACAAACAACACATATGGTATGTATGGTGTTAAGGTTGTGAAATACACTTGTACAATTGCAGTAAGACTAAAAGAATACAAATCAAAAATTTTAGAGTTCAAGAATGAATACTGAATTATAAAGAATTTCCATCATGTTTTTTGTTCTGTCAGATTTTGGTTTTTTGGTCAGTCATAGGGCTTTAACTCTGGGGTTGGGCGCTGTCCCTCAGCTCTTCAGCTGAAGGCGAGTACTCTACCTCTTGAGCCACAGTGCCACTTCTGGTTTCTGGTGGTTAATTGGAGATTAAGAGTTTCACCAACTTTCCTACTGGGCTGGCTTTGAACCGTGATCCTCAGATCTCAACCTCCTGAGTACCTAGGATTACAGGCATGAGCCACCTGTGTCCGGCTTGTTCTGTCAGATTTTATGTCATACATCTTACTATTTAACTGGGGATTTTATTTTTTTCATCAAGAGAAAAATTTGATGTTTTTTTTGTTTGTTTGTTTTGCTGATCCCAAGGATCAGCATGTATGGCCCTTGGGATCCTAGCTACTCAGGAGGCTGAGATCTGAGGATCACACAGTTCAAAGCCAGCCCAGGGAGGAAAGTTTGATAAACTCTTATCTCTAATTAACCACCAGAAAACCAGAAATAGCTCTGTAGCTCAAAGTGATAGAGCACCAGCCTTGAGCAAAAGAACTCAAGGACAGTGCCTAGGCCCTGAGTTCAAGCCCCAAAACTGACCAAAAAAAAAAAAAGTCTCATAGACTTTCCTGCCTGGGCTGACTTCAAACTGTGATCCTCATATCTCAGCCTCATGAGTAGCTAGGCTTACAGGCATGAACTACCAGTGTCCAGCTTTGAAGATACATTTATCAAGACAAATCATTCACTAATTTTTTCTTCTTTTTTTTTTTTTTTGGTCGGTTATGGGGCTTCTAAACTCTAGGCCTGGGCGCTGTCCCTCAGTTCTTCAGCTAAAGGCTAGTTTTTTACCACTTAAGCCACAGCACCACTTCTGGTTTTCTGGTGGCTTATTGGAGATAAGTCTCACGGTCTTTCCTGCCTGGGCTGGCTTTGAACCACAATCCTCAGCCTTCTGAGTAGCTAGGATTACAGTTGTGAGCCACCGGCGCCTGGCACATTCACTAATTTCTGACCCACCTTTTCTCAATTAGTTTATTACTAGCAAGATTTTCCACAATGCCTTTAGTACATTATTATAATCCCACCAAAAGAAAATTTCAAAATTCATACAAACTTGTGCCTTGATAGTATGTTACAAATTTTTTTTTCTTTTTTTCTTTTTTTTGTCGGTCGTGGGGCTTGAACTCTGGGCCTGGGCGCTGTCCCTCAGCTCTTCAGCTCAAGGCAAGCGCTCTACCACTTGAGCTACAGCGCCACTTCCGGTTTTCTGGTGGTTTATTGGAGATAGGAGTCTCACGGTCTCTCCTGCCCGGGCTGGCTTTGAACCTCGATCCTCAGATCTCAGCCTCCTGAGTAGCTAGGATTACAGGCATGAGCCACCAGCGCCCGGCAGTATGTTACAAATTTTAATTCAAAGACTAAAACTTACAGAATATGCTAAAGTCAAAGATAACGCACCTGAAAATAGCAACTGAGTCTGAAAGGGAACCAACAGCAATGTCAGGGTAGGAGTTCCTATCGAGGTCCATGTTCCCAGCAATTGAGTATCCAAAGTAAGGTGTTGTACCCTCGAGAACCTGGAAGAAAGACCAGCAAGGACAGTTGGGCACCAAATATGTCGTTATGCTATACTTGGAAACAGACCATGAGTTTCTCTTGAAGTTTCAGTTCATTTGCAAAGAAAGTATAAATATTCAATGATCCAATATTGAATACATTTTGTTTCCTAAAATCATCTGAGTTATACATATTTCAAAGAACAAATGAACCCAATTTTGGTATTTATTGTATTTCAAACCTAACTTCCTTACCTGTCCTTCAAAGGTCGTTTTTTTTTTTTTTCTAAAGCAATTTAAAGTTTTTGGTGTCCAAATTCTCCATTTAATTAAAACTATGTACTCTGCTTTCACAGTTTCATTTTTACTAAATACTAAGAAAAATAGGTCATAGTTTCATCTCTTCTGTTGTTAGGCAGAACAGTCGTTTGCTCTGGATTGTGTTGTTTTCCTAACTTATCCAAGAAATTTTATAATTAAAACAATCAGGTCATTGCATTACATCTGTATTTCATGTTATCTTCCAGCATGGTTTTGTTATTGTTGTTGTTATTCTTGTTGTTTATGTATGCTAGGGCTTGAACTCAGGGCCATGCATTCTCACTTGGCTTTTTCCATTCAAAGCTAGCACTTTACCACTTAAGCCACAGCTCCACTTTTGGGTTTTTGGTGGTTAATCAGAGATAAAAAGTCTCATGGACCTTCTACTTTCTTGCTTGAGCTGGCTTCAAATCGCTATCCTCAGATCTCAGCATCCTAAGTAGGTAGATAACAGGTATGAGCCACCAGCACCTAACTCATCAGCACTTTTTTGTTTGTCTATAAAAACAAAATATGAGTGCCAGAGGCTCACACCTGTAATCCTAGCTACTCAAAAGAGGCTGAGATCTGATAATCACCATCAAAGCCAGACCAGGCAAGAAAGTCTAAGACTCTTATCTCCAATAAACTACCAGTAAACCAGAAGTGGTGCTGTGGCTCAAGGGCCCAGGCCCAGAGTTCAAGCCCCACAACTGACCAAAAAAAAAAAAATATATATATATATATATATATGTATTATGCATATATATTATTGTAGATTTGTAAATAAAGTAAGGTTTGTGTGAAAATTTACTTCGAAGCAGTACATCACAAAGAAAAAAGCTGAGTCTGTATATGTAGAAACCCAGGTTATCTAGTTACCTGCGTAGGTTTGGTATTTATTCCGTTTGCAGATCCATGATAGATAAAAACCTTCCCCAGATCATCATAGGGAGCTCCAACCGCAATGTCTGTTAAAAACATCACATTTTTAAAAACATGACATTTTCTTTCTTTTTTCTTTTCTTTTTTTTTGTTGTCAGTCGTGGGGCTTGAACTCTGGGCCTGAGCGCTGTCCCTCAGCTCTTCAGCTCAAGGTGAGCACTCTACCACTTGAGCTACAGCACCACTTCCAGTTTCTTGGTGGTTTATTGGAGATAAGAGTTTCACAAACTTTCCTGCTGGGGCTGGCTTTGAACCGCGATCCTCAGATCTCAGCCTGTGGAGTAGCTAGGATTACAGGCGTGAGCCACCGGCGCCTGGCTTAACATGACACTTTTCAAAACACTTCAGTACAATGTTTTGAAGTAAAATGCCATAAGCACTCTTCCTTTACACAACCACATAATCCACTGACAAATCACAGCCATTTACCATCTCTTATGTACCTGGATAGCCATCTTGATTAATATCTCCAATATTTTTGACTGCAATTCCAAACATAGAGTCTTTAGTTCCATTAAGACGAATTGGCTTGACATTATTCCATCTGCCTTGCTGGTTAATATAGACATATGCTGCACCTCCAACTTCCCCATCTCTATCAAAGTATTGTGGAGCTCCAATAACTATATCTTGCCATCTAAAACCAAAAGGAAGGGGATGAACTGTGAACCACTGGCCAGAATATCAGTAAGTTTAGGTAGAGAAGGACTGCAAATGGACAATTTATATCTCACAAAAGAAAACACACACACACACACACACACACACACACACACACAAAATACGAATAGTTTAGAATACATGCACTCCAAAAAGATGGAGGGTAGGAACTCAAAGCCATTTTCTCAAGTTAGAGCCACAGTGCAGTAAGTTTCACCAGCAAAGGTCATATCACTCCACACCCCAAAGAGCCACCCATCACCTACACATTCACTTCATCACCAGTCTCTACTTTCAACAGGATATTCTACATGTTCCAATACTCCTAAGAAACCACAGAATACACTAGGTGCTGATGGCTCACACCTGTAATCTTAGTGACCCAGGAGGCTGAGATCTGAGAATCAGAGTTTAAAGCCAACCCAGGCAGGAAACTGTGAGACTCTTATCTCTAATTAACCACCCAAACGGCTCAAATGGTAGAGCAACAGCCTTGAGTGACAAAGCTAGGGGACAGTGTCCAAGCCCTAAGTTCAAGCAGCCCCTGTAGAGGAATGAATACATACATGGCATTCTTACCCATCTTTGTTGAGGTCCACCACAGCCACGTCATAGCCGAATGAAGAAGCCAGACCTTCCCCATCAAAGATGTGTTCGGGGAGAAGATGCGCAGACTTCATGTCTCGTTTTAGCAACACCACAGCTCCACTGTGATTGGCTCTCGGAGCACCAGATACAAAAGTGATCTCATCTTTGGAAACAATACCTTTCCCTGAGTCCAGGGAAAAGCCTAGAAAGACAAAATATATCTTCTTACATCCATCCTGTATTTTAGCAAGTACCCTGCATGGGTACTTCCCTTCTCATTACCTACCCACTCAACTCCTGTCACTGGCCTCTGTCACCCTCTACCCCACTCTCATATTTATAATAGGAGTTCTATCACTAAGAGATTTAACACAAGGGGAAAGTACTAGGATATTTTGCTGTTTTCTGTTGGTGTATTAAGACTTTTAAGGAAAACGTCTGTACTATTTAGCATTTGTATAATCTGAATTATGAAGTACTTATGGATCTTCAGGATTTGAACTCTATTTGAGCATTACAATTCTGATAAAGGAAGGCAAGCTAGATTCCAAAGTCTCACATTGGAATAGAAAATATAACCTGATGGGGCTGGGAAGGTGGCTCAGTGGTAGGGCGCTTGCCTTGCATGCATGAGGCCCTGGGTTCGATTTCTCAGCACCACATATGCAGGGGGAAAAAAGCCGGAAGTGGCGCTGTGGCTCAAGTGGTAGAGCGCTAGCCTTGAGCTGAAGAGCTGAGGGACAGCACCCGGGCCCAGAGTTCAGGCCCCATGACCAGACCCCCCACCCAAAAAAAAAGAAAATACAACCTAATCTGTAGCTTTATTTATTTATTTATGTATTATTTAATTCTTCTGTGCCAGTACTAGGGCTTAAACTCAAGGTCTTGTGCTCTCTCATCTTTTCTTCACATAGCTGGTGCTTTACCACTTGAACCACACCTCCACTTCCAGCATTTTGCTGATTAGCTGGAGATAATAGGCTCAGGGATTTTTCTGCCTGGACTGTCTTCAAATTGTGATCTTTAGATCTCAGCTTCTGAAGTAGCTAGAATTATAGATGTGTACCACCAGGACCCAGCTCTTACTGAGTGTGTGTTATAGATTTTTGCTGTAGTAACCAGCATTCTTATGTGTACAGAATCAATGCTCATCAATCTCCTTGATATACCATGCATGCCATTTCACTATTTTGAACCAATTTAGTTCTCAGACACAAACATGCAAATAAAACCATGCATGATGCCACAGAGTATTTGAGAACTTATGGAAACAATAGAGGTGATTGTTACGGAGTCAGTTATGTATTAGGTCAAGGGGGAGAAAATGTTGGAATGCCCAATTATAAAGTACCAATTAGGATGTCAGATTCTAGGCACCAAAAGATTTGCTAGATAGTAAATATAAATGCTCACTAATAAAATACTTCAAAAATTAAGCAAATCTTTCCATTCAAAGGCAGGATAGAAGTAGCATTACATAAGCCACTTCCCCCCCCCACTTCCCCACTTTTTAAAATTGAGCTTTACTCATGAAATGCATCACCACTACCCTTGCAGTTCTCAAATTGTGAAATGAGTTGAAAAATACGATGAGCCCTAAGTTCGGAACAGGGTGATATAATTGAACCCAGCTCTGAAAACCATCTGGCAGCAGAGCCTCCATCATGCCATGCCTTTTGCGTGTGCTTCACTTGAAATGAAATAGAAAATAAAAAGATTTATGCTCTGTATGGATCCAAAAAAATTTTTTTTAAATGACCATGACCAAGACAATTTATTTGTCATCTCAGAGGTCACAAACCTAGGTAGCTATTCATCATCACATCAGGGGATGTGTCAGGCTGCTCCCTGGGAGGCCGTGTTTTATAAACAAACTGATCGGGATCTGTATAGGAAATGGTGGTCAGAAACAGCAGGCCTGTACACATGCACGGGATGGAAGAGATTGAAGAAAAAATAATTATGCTTGGTAACAGGCAGGCCCCACCACTGCCATTCTCGCTGAAGGATGAGGCCACTGTCGTACTGGGCAAGCTGTCTTCTTTGCTACTTCCAAAACCTCAGGCAGATCATTTTATTCCCCAAACCCACTGATATTTCGAAATGACAGAGACAAGTGAAATGTAACAACAAGAACTCGATTTCTTTTTCAGACATCTACTTTGGAAAAAATGCACTGCCAAAATGGAAAAATGCATTTAAGAAAATGCTTTATATATTCCTATAGTTTAACCAAAGTGCTGGCTTCTTGGCCAGAACAATTAAAACTAAGTACTTCCCATCATAAGTAATCTCTAAATAGCACATCTGAAGAAAGAGAGGTTACTGGTTAATATATGTTCAAATAAAATATTGGTTTGTTGACATTTACCTTGAAAGGCTTTTACTATGAAACCCCATGTTTAATACGTGAGACTGCAAACCACTAGCCTTGAGCTCCCTTCCTGTCCTGTGGAGCCATTAACAAACCGTTCACACACCAGCTGCTTCCCAGCTCCAATTCTCCAAAGTATTTCTCTCCTTCTGTATGTGTATGTGGGGGGAATAGTATCAATGGTCTTACTTGGACTACAAAATCAAGTCCCCTAAATCACAGTTTTACTTCTCAATTAAAAAAAGAAAAGAAAGGGGTACTGGGTAATAATTCATATTATATTAGCTATGTAAAGTACTGAGTACAGTAGCTGACATACAGTTGGGTGTGTATAGCTCAGTGGTAGAGCACTTGTCTAGAGTGTACAAGGCCTGGGTTCAACTCCCAGCACCACAAAAACAACACAAAAAAGGGAAATATTTGACTAACAGCACACAGACTGTGCCTAACAAGTATACTGTTTGAGCCTTCCCTCTTCCATACCTTCATATTCAGTTTTTCTACGGGAGTTGGAATGTATGAATTGAAGAGTGCTTTTCCCCCCATTAATAGTAATACTTCATGCATAGTTATAGAATCAAAATAACTTGAAATATGTTTACTAACACATTGTTTGGTCTTATTTATGTACCTGTACCTGCGTTGTTTCCTTTTCTATTTTCCATTGTTCTAGTAATTTTCGAGCATATGGGTACTTTTCTCATCATTTTAACAAATAGGTTACTATTTAGGTTTAGAATATTTTCTGTCTTTTTTTCCTCCAAGAAATGAACAGTAATTATTCTTTATGTCAACTCATACCAAGAATTAAAGCTTTTAAAAGCCTTTGTGTAATTACCATAATGCACAGGAATAATTTAGGCCACCATTAGTAATGCAAACGAGCTTCAGGAGTTAAGGAATTGCCACTTAAGACACAATCTGGGTGTCCTCCGGCTGTGTTAGCCTTCCTGTTCAACCTCAGCCAGGAGCCCCAGTGCCGCCCACCAGGCCCTGTGACATGGAAGTCTCAATGGAGAGGGAGGGCCAACCCTTGGAGAGAATGGCAATCACAGAGGAAGGATCTGGAGATCTTGACCTGCCACTTCAAAGTAACTTTATAAATGTAGCTCTTAAGAGTATCTCTAGAATGAGGCTCTGCGGGAAGCAAAAAGGCGGGTCTGCCCACTATAAACATCCAGGCATTTTCTTATGGTTATACACATGGCCTGTTGCAGGTTAGACACAGTCTGCTCAGGAGACAGACTTCTAAGAGGAAAGACAGATGTAAGTGTCACAGGTTTCTTCCTCCTTTGATGGAGCGTTAAGCCAGAAGGGAAGGTCCCAGAGCCAGCAGTTGGGTTGCCTCCAATAACCCAGATGTAACAAGTCCTTTGGCTCCACTGGGCCTAGAATCAGACTAGAAATCTAGGGGTCTGGAGCCCTTTAGGGAGAATCACATCTGAAAGGGAGGCATGCCACCTGCCCTCTCTCCTACCTAAATAACTGTTAGCAGGAACTGGAACAAGACTTTCATCATGGTCAGTCTCTCCACCAACTTCGTAAGGTCCGTCTTCAAAGATGTTCATGTCAAAAAAAGTGTTATTCTTTTGCTCTACACGAACAATCCCTAAAGGAATGAAATGATAAAAAAAAAAATGAAATGAAACAAAATAAGATGGCACCTAATAAAGACCTTCTGTCATCAAGGAATACAGGAAGAAAAGTTTAGAAGAAAAGGCAGATTAAAGAGGTGACTTGAAAGGTAGTTTAATTGAGCATGTTCATGTAAAAATCTATGTAAAAGGGGCTGGGAAGGTAGTTCAGTGGTAGAGTGTTTGCTTTGCATGCATGAGGCCCTGGGTTTGATTCCTCAGCAGCACATAAGCAAAAAAGTTGGAAGTGGCACTGTGGCTCAAGTGGTAGAGCACTAGCCTTGAGCTGAAGAGCTGAGGGACAGCGCCCAGGCCAAGTATTGAGGCCCTTCACCGACAACAACAACAACAACAAAAATCTATGCAAAAGAAATTTGTTCTCATTAAAAAAAAATTTTTTTAATTGCATGCAGCTGGACACTGATGGCTCAAACCTGTACTCCTAGCTTCAGGAGGCTGAGGTCTGAGGATCTCGGTTCAAAGCCAGCTCAGGCAGTAAAATCCATAAGACTCATTTTCAATTACCCACCAGAAAACCAGAAGTGGGGCTGTTACTCCAAGTGATAGAGTACTAGCCTTGAGAAATAAAGCTCAGGGACAATGTCCAGGGCCTGAGTTCAAGCTCCATGACTGACATACACAAAATTACATGCATTTACAAAAGTGATCTTCATAATGCCATGGAATTGGATGGAAAATGAAGTGTGTGCTTAATCAACAAGGTCTGTATAAAACTAATTCTTTAAATGACATGAACTTGACAGACATGATATTTTTATTTGTAATCCTACATCAAATTTTGTTTCTTTTCTACAGTGTATCAATCAAAATTAATGTATTGATCTTCTCCTTAAATTCCTTTGACCAAAATTTCATCTTTCAGAAGTATTTACAATTATTAAAAAGATTTCATATAGTTAAGCGCTAACTGTGACCTACCTTTTAAAATGCAACATTTAAAGTCGAAGTTGAGAAAGCATGTATCTCCACTAATTTAAATACACACAATTGGTGAGTGTTTTCACAATTTTTGGGCAGTACTAGGGTTTGAACTCAGGCCTCAAGCTTGCTAGGCAGGTGCTCTACCACTTGAGCTATATCCAACCACTTCTTTGCATTGTTATCTTCAAGGTATGGTCTGGATTTATGCCTAGGCCAATGTGGGCAGTGATCTTAGAAATGACAGAATGACTCCACTGAGCCCAAAGATTGTTCTTCCCCAGAGCTGGGATACAAAGTCATGGGCCATCAGAACCAGCATTGACTGACAGAAAATCTTGCAAACTTCTTTTAGAGTGAGTTAGCCTTGAGCCTTTATCCTCTAATCTCTGCCCCGAGTAGCTAGGATACAAGTTTGAGCTACCACAACTGGCCAGATGTCACTTATCATTGCTAAAGTAAAACTTCCTAAATTGAGCTTATTAGGTCAAATGAGCCTGATTGATTTAATTTCTAATTAACCACCAGAAAACCAGAAGTGGTGCTGTGGCTCAAGTGGTAGAGCACTAGCCTTGAGTTGAAGAGATGAGGGATAGCACCCAGCCCCAGAGTTCAAGCCCCACAACAGACAATAAAAAAAGAAGTCTCTGTCCAGATCAACGTGTTTCTCTTCAGCCTAGCTTAAACAATGAAGCTTTCTATATTTGCTTAATTTCTTCAGAGAAGCTAAACTTTTTTACAGGAACTGACCAGGTTCATCTAATCAGAATACAGAAGTCACCCCCCTTTCCAGCCCCATCTCCTTTCATTCATAATAATTGTTACATAACGTCATGAATCGTTCCATGTCACATTGTCTGAAATCACAATCTGAAAGTTCCCCAATATGGCAATCATCTGCCCACCTAACTTTCTGTGCAATCAAAGCCTTTTACCATAAGGGATAATGAAAGAAACATCCATATTAACACATTATTTGTACATACCACTAAATTCTGAGTTTTCAAATCACTAACTAAAAACAACTAAGAACAACTCTGGTAATTATTATATTCCTAGAGAAAAAAAGTTAAGTACTTGTACTAATGTAAAGTACTAGTACACGGGGCTTTAAAAACAAACTAAGCTAAGCAAAATAAACTCTAAGACATGAACACAGGAGGTTTTGTTGTTGTTGTTTTTAATGTAGTATGTGATTTTTTTTTTGTTTCTTTTTTTTTTTTTTCCGGTCATGGGGCCTGAACTCTGGGTCTGGGTGCTGTCCTTCAGCTCTTCAGCTCAAGGCTAGCACTCTACCACTTGAGCCACAGCGCCACTTCCGGCTTTTTCTGTTTATGTGGTGCTGAGGAATCGAACCCAGGGCCTCATGCTTGCAAGGCATGCACTCTACCACTGAGCTACCTTCCCAGCTCCCTTTTTTTGTTTCTTTTGCATGTTTTCCCCCTATGGAATATCCTGTTGTCACTGTATTTGATTTGGTACCCTGGTATTGTATAAACATTTATCTGAATTAGGGAAGGGAAGGTGGACAAAAGAATGGTGAGACAAAGGACAAGGGGGAACCAATGCAACAGCGACATACACAAGACAATATGTTGGAGATGATCTGTACAACTTGGGGGGGGGGTGGAGGGGCAGGAAAGAAAGAGAAAAATGAGGGAAGGGGTAACAAGTTTGACAAGAAATGTACTTGTTACTTACTTATGTAACTGTAACCCCTCTGGTACATCATTTTGATGATAAAAAATAAGTATGAAAAAAAACCTAACGTAAAAAACATGTCCCCTTATTTAAATTTTTCTTTTTAGCATTTTCTTTTGGGCATTAAATTCAGGGCCTCTTGCTTGGTAGGACAGTGCTCTGCAGCTGAGCCATGCCTCCAGTTCCCATGATTTTAATTGATTAGATTAGAGATGTCAACACCCACCTACTTTTATAACATACAAATGCTTTATAACACACTTAAAGGTCACATGGTCTAAATCTCATATTAAGCATATTGTAGGAACTCCTCAGTGACTCTAATAGGTTTTTTTTTGTAAATTCAGACATCATACCTTTCCAGTTATAAGTACCCGGGGCTCCAAACACAATGTAATGAAAGTCTTTAGTAAAAGTAGCTGCTACACCTTGCTGACAAGAACCAAATTTCTCATGCCCTCTCAATCGGCCATCACAAAAACTCCAGTCCCCGCCATCCATATCATCTTCAATCCTGAGATTCTGACTCAGGACATAACACCTGCCGAAGATGTCCCGTGATTCCTGCTTCGTGTTAACATGTTGCCTTTTTTCGTATCGATGCGCGCATGTCTGCAAACAGATGGAATAGGAGAGCCCACTTATGTCTGTCGACCTTACTGAAAGTTCACAGAATGGATGAAGTTGTCAAGATGTTAATTCTAAGAGGCATGATTACACGTGCCCTCATCCTGGGAGAGGATCTCAAACCAGTAAGCCTTCCCCACAATGGCACTAGAGACCATGGTGTCTAATAAACCAGGACTTCTGTCACACTCTCACTTAGTGTAATGTTGAAATGCCAGTTTGCTTCCATGGGCAATTTATCTGTAAATTTACCTGTCACATAAACAACAAAGGGAAATACCTTATAACTTCATATTCTTCATTGGCTTTTAGTGGCTATTCTACCCCATCAGTGTGAAAATAATTACATTATGGAGGAGACAAATCCTGGTCTTATTTTCACAGGGATCAACCAAACATACTGTAAACAAAGACACTTTCTTCCTACCCACGCCCTTCCCTTGTAATAAAATGATCATATTCCAGAGTGGAAGCTCACTACAGCCATGTGACACAACGTACCTAACAGGATTCTCTTTCCTTTGCCACTACTGCTAGCAAGAAGTTCAGAATAAATAAGACTTTTAAAATTATAATTTTAAAATTATAATTCATATATTTTTTGGGGGGTGGGGGGATTGGTCATGGGTTTGAACTCAGGGCTTGAACTCAGGCCTGGGCACTGTCCTTGAGCTCTTTAGCTTAAGGCTAGTGCTGTACCGCTTGAGCCACAGTGCCACTCCTGGTTTTCTGGTGGTTAATTGGAGGTAAGAGTTTCATGGATTTTCCTGCCTGAGCTGGTTTTGAACCATGATCCTCAGATCTCAGCCTCCTGAGTAACTAGGATTACAGGCATTGGCCACCAGCGCCCAACTTCCATATATTTTTAATAACTTATTTATAAGACCACAAAGCTCTTTTTGACAGAAAATATGGTTAGTTTTTTACTTCTTTGCTTTCCCCCTGAAGGACTAAGGTTTGAACTCAGGGCCTCACACTAGGTAGGCAAAGCACTCTACCATTTGAATCACATTGCTAACTCCTTTTTACTTTAGTTATTTGTGGTTTAGTCCAAGCTAACCTGAGCCACAATCTGAAATTGTATCAAGTTGTAAGACTGTCAAATAGTATGTTAGAAATCACAGGAAAAATATCGATTCTTCTTAACACTGAGTCCTGCTTTGAAGCAGAAAAATTGCTAGAAGGTAAACTCCACATGGTCAGGGCTGACTTGTTCATTGTCAGCTGAGCATTGCTGACACCAGGCACCCCAGCTCTATGGGATGAATGCAGTTCTCTTTTTTTTTTTTTTTTTTGGGTCCAGTCATGGGG